GGTTCATGTACTTGTCTATGTTATTGTACATGCAGGTTACTGTACCAAACCTGATAAACTCCAACAGAATGAGCCCATTGGAGTTTGAGTGATATGGTATGGATGGGTCTATGCAGTATAGGATGACTTGCACTGAACAGTACCAAACCTGACAAAATCAAGCACAGTCCAACAACTGGTACAGCAAGCCAGACACTGCACACAGTGACCTGTTTGTGTCCCAACTCACACAGAATCCAACACCATCTCCCCGGGTCTTTCATCCCAACTCTCACAAAATTCAACAACAAGTTCCTCAGGTCGGTACCAAACCTGCCAAAACCTCACAAAACCTGCTATTGGAGTATGGCAGGTTTTGGGTAGTTAGGGACAATTCGTTTGAGGCAACACAAGTGTTCAAAATCTAAAGGGTGCTACGCAAGTGACAGTTGGAGCTGTAAGTGCATGCTGGATATTTCAAGAAAAACAAAGTTAGGATCTTGATTTCAAATCAAGAATTGAGGAGTCACTCTTGTTCCATTTACAGCAGCTACGCAAGGCTGCGTACTGATCCAGCGAATTATAGCAACGCGTAGACGGTCATCATGTCAACGCTTGTGTGTGCTCCGCGGAATAGTCTTCTTTCACAGCTTTCTCCAAAATGACAGCTTGCTTGAAAGGATTATTTCATGGAGAGCTGAGTCCCAAACAGGTAACAACATGTGCGGTATCTTGAAACCAAGTGTGCTTTTCAACAATTCCATCAGTTACTTTATGGACAGCTGCAAATGTGGGACTGTACCTTTAAAGTAGTACGTTGTACATTGTGTGAGCAGAACTCAGTACGTTGGATATTTACATGTATGGACACTCCGGGGAGGAAGTGCCCTGCTTGATTGTGGTATCCTGGTTGAGTGGCAAACATTGACCGTTTATACATGCATCTGCTAAACACCCCAAGCTCTCTATCCTGCCTGAAACCTTTGATCAACCGACTTCTTTATACACCTGGCTATAAAATGCACTAAATTGCCAGATGAAGAACGCACGCTCTGGCTGTTGAAGGCCAGCCCCCCCTCCCTCCCTCTTTTGTTATTGTGGGTCGTACATGAACCCTGAGCTGGCTTGGGAATGTACAAGTACACATGTATGTATCCTGGCATTTTCCCATAAGGTCTAACAAACTGTTGAGTGCACAGTGCTTTCATGATGATAATGTTGCAAAAGGTTAACTCCAAGTGTCACATTCAAACGGTGCATGCACAGTGTAGTTATTGGGTATAATATAGTGTCTGGTGTTTACATCACAGAAGAGACATTGTTGTCTGATGTGTACATGTATGGTGTGTAACAACAAACACCAACGCGTACATGTGCAGTGCACTTCCATTTCCTTTAACAGAATGTCATATAATGAATATATGTCATATAATAATAATGAATATGGTGAATTTGTGCCTGTGAGTGTCTGTTGATTTCTGATACATGTTTACACACCGGCACTGTGTGTGGAGAGTACAAAAACTTGCTGTATGAAGACATACATGTGTGTTTGGACTCTTCATCGTTCCGGTTTATGCATGGTGTGACGTAAAAAAAATGTACATGTATGGTACATGTAAGTTAATGTACACTACAACAATAACCCTGGATATTTTGACCCCTGTTGAAAGCTGTGTGAATAGCTGCTTTGCAGACACGAGTGACGTGATGTCATGGTTGCATTTCAAAGAAAATCTGACATACAGTACATGTACATGTATGGTCCTCCGGAACAAATAACATTGCCAGATTCGTGACAATTAATGAAAATATACACTTCTTACCTATCCAGGTATGATTTTTGAACCGAGTTACATGTACATGTACGAATGTGAGCAGCTGTACCAAGTTGACAGCCACAAGCTAGCAGTGAAATCACTGTGAATCCAGGCCTACCGGTACATGTACATGTACATGGAGGAAGCATCAACAAGAAGCAGCTAAAACCAATGTCAAATGATCAAGCCACAGACACCCCCCCCCAAATGGCGTGCCTGCACGCATTTAGACACATCGGTAAATAAATTTGGCAAGGACCGCCTCAATCAGGCCATGTTTTTTGGGAAAACTCCTTACCAGTAGGGAATGGCTGAACAAGCTATATTTAGAAAATTAGAAAAAAAAAAACAAAAAAAGTTGGCAAGCAATGCTTTTCAGGGCCTTATCGTTTATGGAAGAGATGATTTTGTTTGTCGGGTTCCATAACAAACAAGAAAACGAGGACTCCCCCCCAAAATGGTGAAAATGTTTACGATGAGATATTCATTTCATCTCACAACACTGATAAGTGTTGTTATAAAGGGCATTTATCTTGTTTTGAATTCCTTTGTTTTATCAAGATGTTTTTGTCAGTTTATCACAGTGTTTAATTTTTTTTACGAGCCAGCCAGAATAGAGTTTCAGGAAGTCACTCGAAGGCATGTCCTGTTTATAATCTGTGGCACATGTGGCCGCACATGTACGTACATGTACATTTACAAGCAAGTCCATAAAATCTACATGTGGAAAAATGCTCACATCTCTAATAGGGATGAAATGGAATAATTCTTCAGGAATACTGTTTCTCAAATTCATACAATAATTAGCCAGTGTTTTCAGTCAGGATAATGGAGAAATTTCGGGGTGTTGTCCTCGGGGCATATTTAACTCCAAGAGAAACAAACAGAGACTTTGTTTGTGCTTACCAGCTGGGAAGGATTGGCTTGCATTACGTGAGTCAAGACTGTTACTTACATGTACACCTTGTACCTGGTGTACTCGGTGAATGCACGCACCGTACAAGGTGGCTGATAAGGAATTTGAACAGCAACTTTACCTCATAGCGATCTCGACGTCCTTGTTGGCTTGACAGAGTGCAGCATGGTTGCTTTAACGTTGTATGGAAGTTGACAGGATTCACTGATACACAACAACATCGTAAGGGTTTTCGTCCATCTCGCTGGCACTGGGGTTGGAACCTGGTTGGGTTAGGTTTGCCTCGATGTACTGTGACTCCTCTGGTAGTACACCAGCCCCGAGGCTGGCCCCTGCGGCTTGGTCGTCCACGCGCAAAACATCGTAGGCATCCTCAGGGTCGAACGACCGTTGCTTGGGTATGTAAGGCTTGGGTGTCATTCTCGACCCGCCAGTGTTGGCCTCTCGCTGCAGGTGGTCATAGAGTTCAGACTCGTCCGCTTGTGACATCTGGCCGGTGTGTGTCTTCCTGGGGGCAGGAACCGGAGGGATGATGGCAGGACGGACGAAGTGGTCATACACGTCCATGCTGTCGACTGCCGCTGGTCCTGTGCTAGCGCCGGGTGGCAGCAGGGCCCCAACTAGGTCATAAGTTTTGTCACTGGCCATCGTTGGAGGTGGGTCCTTCTTGGTGTCGGGGGTCTGGGCATTCCTGGTGGTGCGAACAATTTGTCGGGCTTTGGGCAAGGGCATGGGCTTTGTGGGAGGCTTGGACTTGACGGTTGTGGGCTTGGCAATGGGCTTGGTAGGCTCGGGTTCGCTGCTAGGTTCCTCGTCCTCTAAGATTCGCAACCCTTTGATGTAGTTTTCAGTGTGGATGTTGTCTTCGGTGCGGCCGTACATTCGCCATCCTTCCATAATAGGCTCTTCTACAGTGGTGTCGTAGAGATGTCGTGGGGCCATGGTAGAGTTTAGGACATCATATTCACTGGATTCTGGAAGATCGGAGGTGGCAGGCATGGGTGGCCGGAGGTGGATGTCACTGGATTCGGGGAGGGAGTATTCTCCCTCTGGCATGGGTGGGAGAGGTTCACTGGCTGATGGGTCCAGACTTTCCGTCACCTCTGAGTAGACAGGTTCAGGCTGGGGTGGTGCAGGCTTGGACAGTGCAGGCTGGGTGGGGGGCGGCCTCTCCTTGCTCCCCCTGGGCTGGTACTGTTTGGGCTTCCTGGGCTCCGTCGATGTGACCTCCTCAACCGGGTCCTCGGCACCCTTCCGCTGGGCCAGCTTCTGCTTGAAGAGGGTGCTCTCCGTGACCAGCGCACTCACTGGATCCACTGCCGGGTGGCCAGCACGGGGCACCACGAGTGGAGGCTTGCTGCCTACCTTGGCAGGGCTGGCCGGCTTGCGACCAGACTCATGCAGCTGGGGGTGGTGCCCCTCCCGGAGGAAGCTGGGGGAGTGGCTCTGGTGGGACTGGACTGGTGGCGTCTGCTGCCGCCCTGAAATGTTGTTCACAAAGTTCTGGATGTTATGGAAGATGTCGTTGCCATCCTTTGTTTCAAACATGATCAGTCCGGGGCCCGACTCACATTTCCGCCCGGCTTCCATCGAGAAGGACGTTTTGTCCCGACCGTACCGTCGCAAGTATCGGTATGGCCACGCGTACAGCACGTTGTTAGTGTTCTCGTCAAGGAGTGACAATTTCACAGAGTCAATCTGCAGGGTGTAGTTACCCTGGAGGTTGAGTGAGTCACTGAAGGCAGTGGGCTTGATAGCAATGTTGAATGTCATCGCTGTACATGAAAAAAAAAACAAAAACAAACAAATCAAATGAAACATTTGGGAACAGTCTGAAATTGAAAAAAAAAATCAGCCTGAATTTTCCCATCCCTCCAAAAGAAACTAGTAAGTTGTGCAGGGTTCCTAGCGAAATCTGAACATCAAATGCAATGACTTTTCCAGGACAAGAACGTGACAATTTTTGTGATCTTTCACTGTCATTTTGCATAGAAAAGTTGTTTGGGTATTATGAACTCCAAGAATGTCAAAGGGACCACTATAGAGTGCTGAAGTGTGACGTCATTTTGAACCAGGAAGTGTAATGCAAATGAATGGAGTATGCATGTGTGTTGGTTGGTGTGCTGGTTCTCGAGTAAATGCCTTTTACAAGCATTACATAACTGTGCATGTGACGTACACGTATTCACTTCGGTATTCTACGGACCCACATGGATATACAGGTACGTGTAGCCTGTACATGTGAATTTATCATTATTCTGTGATCACATCAAATGCGGGCCCGTCAAAAAATCACCTTGGCACGACCTTGATTGAATGACTTTTTCCTCTGACAACAGGATTCCACTGAGGACGCCCAATTCTCCGCGACTTTCCTATACCTTTTAAGTACTCCTTTTTTCTGACTCGATAGACAACAGAGAGACTTTATTCAAGTGAAACCACCGCTATTTCACCGCTATTTCGTCCAAGGCTAGCACTAAGTGACAGACATGCCTAGTTACTTAATTACTGTACATGTACCGGTACCTGTAGATCCATTACCTTTATAAGTGCATGCAGAGTTCTTTGTATCAGTTGGGTGAAAAACCAACTCACCGAGACTCCAAATCCAATGCAATTTCTTGAGGGTGATGATTATTTCCTAACTATCTTTTCAAATTTCAATGTCATGTAGAAAATTATTGTCGCAAATGAGCAAAGCTGCAGGTAATGGGGAAAAACCCACTAAAACAGTCAATTAAATCTATCAGCGACAAGGACTTCTTTCATAAAATCCTTGTTTTTATGAAAAACAGCCAACATCTGACTCTTTTCTAAAAAATACTGTCGAAGTAAATACGTGTACACGCACAGTTGAAACAGACAGGAAATACAAAGCAGTTTTCATATCTTGCTACGAGGAATCTTTCCAAGCAGCTCACGCATGACAATGTGGGTGTGATTTTTTGCACCGCACAATGCTGTGTTTCAATCCATTTAATCACGTGTGCATCTGGCTCTTCCAAAAATTAAAACTACCATTTTCCTTTAAGGAAACAAATTCGAACTGCAAACCCAATGACTAAGGGGATCCGTTCACCCGAGTCTTTTCTAAAAATACTGTTAGAGTAAAGACATGCAGAGTTGAAACAGGCAGGAAGCAGGCATGAAGTAAAAACTGATGTATGTAAACATATAGGGGAATATTGTTGGAAAAAGGTGAGCTCTCATCGTGGTCACAGAAAAACACAAGGTGAAAAAAAAACAACAACCTAAAGTGCTGGTGACACTTTATCTTCCTGTGTTCTGAGGATAATCTACCGTACCGTATTTTTCCGAGTAAATGTTTGTATACGGTGGGGAGGGTATGTACACATACATGCACAAAGTGTAACTAACAAGTCTCAACATCAAAGAGAGCCGATTTTTGAGGGATCTGCGAAAGATGAAACGGCTGACACCGACAACTGGGAGAGGAATTTCGGTTACTCATCCTTTGCTATTTCTCCAGGCACTTTCTGTGAATACCTGCCGCTCCTCAGCCAGCCCTCCTCTCCAGTGGAGTCACTGTTTCTTCTCTCCACCTGATTTGATGGCGCGCAAAACCAATTTTTGAACGTGGAATATTTGCTTTGACAAAATTACACGCCCCATCTCTTTGCTTTTAACATAAATTTCTAACGCTGGTGAGCAGATCTATGTATTTCCTTCCAAAATATCAGATTTTTTACAATGGAGGGGCTCTCGTATAAACACCGAAGAGTTTCAGTTACAAAACTGGGATAAATCCTGAGCCTAAAAATGCATTCACTGAGCAAATGTCTGGTACAATATCCCCTTTGCGAAGCACTTACTCTCATACGAGTCATACAAGGTGTTTTCCTGCAGGCCTTCTCCAGTCTCGCTGCTGAAGGAGGGGAGGTCAGGTACGATCGATGCCCTGTTGCCCGGACGACCTGCTGTGACCTCACCGAGCACTTGTAGCCAGGTGTCCAGCTCCTCCCTGATGGATGCACAGAATTACACCAAGAGTGTGACCTTTTTTTCCCCCCCCCGCATTTTAGTTTTCAAAGACTTGGTGCTCATTTTCTAACACGAAATATGAAATCAGAGGCAAAACTGGCAAATGCTACAATTCATTGCAAAGTATTTTGTGTCCGAGACATCTTTAGAAGAACTCATAAAGGCTTGTTGAGACCAAAAGGAGTAGAACGGGTTCATCTCGATGTCAGAGTACTGAATGCCTTTGTTCGTGGGAGAATATCCCTAACCCCCCAAAAGTCGAGTCATTCGATTTCACCTCGTCTCTTCACTTACTGTGAATCAACCGCGTAGACGTAAATCTTCTCCTCGACGGTCAGGTCCATGACGAAATCCCTGGATCGGTGCTGGGTGGTCTGGGTAGCCTGGCACGTGCCAGACAAGATGATGAGCGACGGCTTGGTGCCCTCTTTGGCCGCGGCCTCCTTGCTGTCAAAAGTCTCCAGGCGGGGTGGTTGGGCCTCTGAGGCCGGGTACAGAAGAGTCCACCGCTTCACCCAGTGTTTCTGTGGGCAAGAGAAGGGAGTACCGTCCACGTCAAGTACAAAAACAACTTGTAGCGCGGCAGATGGGCCAGCCCATCTACAGTCAGCAAATTTCTAGGGAAAAAATTCCCAGCCTTCTCTAGGTTTATGCGACTCACACCGGACAGACTTCATCAAAATACACGTACGCCACTCCAGCATTTCATTCAAGACAAAACAAAAACCTACACGTACACGTAGATTCACCTACATGTACATGTAGCACATGTATGTATGTTTCCGATGTGCTTGTCAAGAAATGACAACGTCACAGGTGTACTGTGCCTGTGTGTCACACACAACGTATATAGCATTGTTGGCCTGGCCCAACCTCAGCACCAAGTTGGGACTGTCCTGCCTACATGTACAGCTGGGACAGATGCTTTGTACATACACACTGTTGGGCCTTAACATCTGCATGCAGGTGAAATACTAGCCCTGAAAAGGGTACACACCTCTTACAGTATGTACTATGTCCCAGGGCAACAGAGTTCATCGCAGGTCCTTCTACAAGTCCAGTTGCAAGCGACTGGATGAGCAATGACTAAGGAATGCTTTTGTCACAGCTCATTCCAATGACCTGAACTTGGCTTCATTGTGACTGACTTGCAGTGGACTCAACTACCCACATAACCATAGCCTCTTTAGGCACTCTGCTGGCCGTGTTGGAAGTATTCAACTTTGGAAATTCATGCCCCTGGGAAAGTCTCTTAGCAGGCAAGTCATTCTCCCCCTAACCCCCCTCCGCAAGCAAAAAATCATCTAAAAATTTGAAAAAAAAAAAAAAAGGAAACAGCTACCGTATGACGACTTATATGTATACATAAGAACTGATTATTAATAATATTATTATCATTATTACATGTACGTATGGGTGTAAATTGCTATAAAAATATGTGAATAAGGGAACAGAGAATTGAAAACCCAGACTTCTGGGCAGAGCAGTTAAAAAAAAGCATTCTATGCCATTTGCCATGAGCCACATCTTCACTAACTGCATGCACGCCAAACTTGATCGACGACATGAGGCTAAATGTCTGGGAAGGCTCAAAATGATGAAAATTAGTCGACTAAGTAGTAGATTTCGCCTGGTAACCTGAACAAAAAAATACATCCTGAGTACATCATCCCAGTAAGATCGACCAGTGGTTGGCGATCGCTCAGACTTTCTGGGCAGAGCAAATAAATACTCGTACGTGCTGCATACATACATCCATCCATCCAAAAAAGATTCTTTGTCGAAAAGCGATGAGTTTTACAGTGAGTTCCTACACAGTTGGTCTTAATGTTGCATGCCGCCCAGCAAGTACATGTACACACAGCAAATACATTTTTCCCACAATTTTTCCCAATACGCATAGGTAACGATACTTCAGCAGAAAGTCGAACCGGACAATTAGGCAATCAAGAGTTAAACGAGCGTGCATGTAATGTCTGCTTTAAACCGCAGACACGCGGGTTGAATTTCTCACAGCATGATTTGCCGATAATTCTACCGTTACCAAATTGCCTTCTCTTTCCGATTCGTGACTGTGGAAGATCGTTTTGAAAACCGGAAGTCAAGTTGGAGATTTAACTAATGCAGGATAGACCAATTGCTCAGAGTGACCAGGCCATTGTGCAGATTGATCAATCCTGTCCAACGTAACACATCAGTTCATCATGCACAAACTACATGTATGAGCTTAGCCCTGGCTATCGGTACATGTACATATACCATGTACCCGGTACATGCACATGTACATTTTCATCCCACAGACAAGGAGACAGCGTCGTTATCTGCTTCTCTAAGCTCAGAGAGACAGAATGACATTGACAAGCACCAATATTCTTGCCCTGGGGAAATATATGTATCTTGTTACAAAAGAAGACAATGATAAACCAACAAAATGAAATAAAATGGAAATCAAATTCATCACGCTAGTGGTAAACAGTTCACATCTGTAGGCTTATTTATATTACAATGTCCACTGAGCTACATATAAAATGAAAACAACATGAAGAAGTTAAATTTGGTCAAAAGCAGGCATACATGTAGAAAATTGTAGGTATATGCCTAAAACATTTTGCAGACCAGGCACTGTCAACATTAGGTCTACTATATGTACACCTGCAATTTCTAAAATTGAATGTCGTTTCAGCTGCAATCTTGAAACTTACGCAAATTTACTGTACTACATCCGGAGCTGCTTTGCCTCTGAAAAAATCCCTTCATAGGCAAATCAACTCAGGAGGGACAGAGCACTATCGATAAATTTGCTCAAGAGTCAAGATAGCGCTGAACAGAGCTGTTGTTTAAACGGAAATTTCAAATGTACGATCAGTAAAAATACATCTACATGGAAAGAGTTCCATACACCAGGGTTGATAAAAATCATGATTTTTAAAAAAAATCAGATTGTTTTGATTTAAATCATTTTTTAAAATTTAAATCAGATTTTTTTATTTAAATCAGATTTTTTTATTTAAATCAATTTTTAAAATTTAAATCAATTTTTAAAATTTAAATCAATTTTTTTTATTTAAATAGAATTAAAAAAAAATTAAATAACAGTTGGGCCTAACCATCATAACCATTTGCTTGAAACACCCCAAATTCACTCTCAATCCTTTTCATTGCAACTACTGGTACCATTCACATGTACAACGCTCACTACATGTATACTTTATTTACATCCACAGACATACATGTAGATCACATGTGAACTGTTTCTTTGCTGTCACTGATGTGGCTATTCTGACCACAAGTGGTTTTATCAATGGCCTGCAAAGCAGGGGGGGGGCATTTGCATATGTAGAATGTTATATAACAGCTAATGACAGTTGTTTATGTGCAAAGCAAATTTTAATGGTACACAGGCAAGAGATTAATTCTGTGCAGGAACATCACTTCGAATTGAACATAGGCTACAACAAGTACATGTACATATGTAAATTGCGTCAGAATACGTAGGGCCCCTAATGTGTATTGCACATAAAATGATCAATTTTAACTTAATGAGTGCTTTCTTTGAAGTTCCTTCAGTAACTAACCGTTTTTTTTCTTTGAAAAAATCGAGAATTAAAATAGTGATTTTTAAATTTTTTTCCCATTGATTTAAATCGAATGATTTAAATCAAACAACCCTGCGGCATACACGGATGCCAGTAATTATTCCCTCAGGTGACCTATTATCAGAAAGCAAAAATATGTCCAGAAATGTTCAATTTATAAAGGAAAATACAAAGTCTGTTATGTTGAAAACACTTTTTTTCTGACCAGTGACTGGTTTGTGCACATGGTGCATGGGGTGTCAAGCGGCGTCCGTATGTGTGGAGCTCTTTCCAAATACACGTACTCACCAGTCATGGTCCTGGAAATAATTTGAGCGTGTATATGGGAAGGGTATATACATGTACATTCCCAATTAGATTCTAGCCCACCTGTTCACGACATCCCCTCCAGGAATCGCAGCACAACCATGACAACTCACCTTCAAACCCGCTTTCTGCGGCCGGTACAAATATCCCTTCTTTATCGGCGGTATCTCCATCTTTGGGCTCTATTTTCGATCACCAGTTTGCTGATTTTACAAGAAGAGAGTTATTCGTTGAATCTACCTGCTCGCGGCATGCATGAGAACGAAATGGAGAAAAGACACGAACGAGCAAATCTCACCACCCCAAGGGCCCAAGTCAACTTCGTGTGGTTCAACTTCCTTGTTCGTACAGAAATTTCCGGATATGTGATGTGACCTGTCATGCAGGACGGGTGCTTGTACATGTACATGTACTTGTAGAAAGTCTATGGCAAAGCTTTACGTATCGTATGCCTACATGTGTTGGTCGAGTTTTCACTAAACTTAATTCAGTCGATTAACTTCCGTAAATTCTATCGGGTGAAAAGTTCCTTGTGGATCAACGTTAAACGTTCTCATACGTGCGCACGACAGAGCATCTTTTTTTGATATGCCTGAAACGAGTTTATGTTCTGAAGGCTTTTTTGCTTTAGTCTGATACCGTGTAACTACGTGTATATCAAATAATTCTTTTTGAGATTTTGTGCGGCGGGAAACAGATAAAGTAAAAAACATAAACGCATCCCAGGCTTCTTCAATGTTGAAAAAAGCAATATACTGGTCTGAAGGTGTGTGCAGACTCGACTATATACGATGAGTTGTATTTCGTTGCAGATGCGTTACGTGTATCCTGTTAAACAAGCGTAAGGGCACCGTTTTGGTAGATTTAAGTTCAGGATCTCTCGGTGAGAAAGATGAGTTCAACTTCCAAGAAACGTGAAAATTCTTCCAGCCATCCCAAGTCGTCGAAGGTGAGATTTAAAGCACATGAAGTACATTCATGATCGCGCGCAGGTGTGCCCAATATTCGGACTAGTGCACGTAAGGTCGGTTAGGCTTAAGTAAGGCCTAGTATAGTAATGAGAGAGTGACATGAGTGAGTAGTACTCTTATTGCCTGCCCATCTGGATGCATCAAGGACGGCGGCATACCATGCGATACACAGACGTTGTTGGCCAGATTACCGTCATCATTCATTGCCTGACTAGTGTTGTGCATAGTACTATTACTTAGTAGTGGTGTAAATCGTCCCTATTTCTATAACTTAAGAATTATCAAGTGTAGAAATTTTTACAGAGATCAAGGCAAGTTTTTATCACTTTTTGTGGCAATTTTTGGAAGCTTTAGTCCCTGTTCATGCCATTTAATCAGCACAAAAAATTCACCCTCCCTCAAAAATGTTCCAACCTACCAATCCTACTTTTGAGAGGGATGTAATCGAAAGCAGCACCGTTATAGTCCCCAGGTCCTTAATTTTGCCACCTTTTGTCGAGTCTGATTGGTTTCCACTGTAGACCTAGGCAAAATAAGGGACCTGGAGACGATATGGTCATGACCCCAGGGTCAAGAACTGTGAGATTTGATGTCCGCCGTATGCCCGCATGGGAGCGTGGCAGATGACCGACATAACAGACCCCACTGTTCTGGGGGTAGCGATCTTCTTGTTTTGCTATTTAAACTTTATGCGAAAGACATACCAGTCACGCAGATTGACCGATTGTGCCCAGCACAAACATTGACTTGATAGAGAAAAAAAGAAAAACCTTCAATTTTTGTAACTGTAATTCCTTCCCACAAAGGTGTGAGAACAATTGCCGTTAAAATGGAGGATTGAAAACCTGTAGCATTGAAAAGAAAGGCAGCTTAATTCCCTCCAATCAATGGCCTTTCCATCTGCATACATGGATCATAGAGACATCCTCTGATCACGGCCTAGATTGGTCTGTAAATTGTGCAAATCCAGTCGCTGGGATAGAGTTTACTTGTGTAAACTGTTCTTGTTCAACCCTTTCAGCGTCACAAACACAGTGACAGTGATTCGGAGGATGATTATGTGCCCTACGTACCGTTGAAGGAGAGACGAAAACAGCAGGTGTGTATTCATGGTATGAACAGAAATCAAAATGTAATTAAACCGCATCTCCCAAAAGGAAATGACTTCAGAAAAACTCTTACAAAATTACTGAAAATTGTGTTCTACACATAATTTTAAATGCAAAATTATTTGAACCTTTGTCGTTTTGGCAAATTTGCCCTGTGGAAAATGTAAGTTGCTGACTATTGGCTGTGATGTTCATAAAGCCCATTATTTTAGGGCGTTAATTCAAAAGAAACTCATTTTTTAATAAAAAGGATCAATTGACATGTACGTGTATGTAGCCTTTACGTGATGTGTTTTTGAAACATTTCTAAACGTGCTACTGTATACTATACTCAGGGGTTTGAGAATTCAGCCGTTTAGCTGATTTTAGCTTTTTTGTGTGTAGATGTTGGCACTGAATTTCAGCTTTTTTGTACAACTGGTCTGTGTAAAAGTGTGGGAACTTTTAACATTTCAGCTTTTTGCTAGCTGTTTTCAGCTTTAATTTCAAGCGGCCACCCTCACCCCTGTATACTCCTCATGGGGTTAGCTGGGCTTCTTTCAGGAACGTTCATCAGGGAGCCAGATGACCGGAGAAAGCAAAGATGTGATTATTAGTTGGTTCCCCAGAGCATGAAATTATGGTTGGACACCAGCCAGTGTCCTTCCTCCTGGCACTTGTCTGACCAAAGGTTGAGGTGGTCGGACAAAAAAAATGTTCAAAAGGAAATGTAAAGGAAAAAGTCCCCAATGCAAAATCCTGCCTTTAGTTTTACTCTGGATTTTGTGATTCTTGACATTTCAACTGTGAGAATGTGTTTTATAAAAAAACTTAGTAGATCGTGGTAGTGCAGTTTGTCTGACCACTTGTTTGGCCTAATTTCACGCACTTCTGGCTCCTTGGGCAGTTGGATAAAGCTCATAAACTCCTGAACCGCAAGATCGCCAAGGGAGTGGTGGAAGGGAAGCAGGAGCAGCGAGACAGTGGTCTTGAGGATGGCGGGCTGGTGGATGACCTGGGGCCCAGGGCCAATGTCAGCTTGCTGGACCAGCACGCAGAGCTCAAGAAGAAGGCAGAGAGTAAGTCTTCCTCTTTGCCCCGGTGATTAACTATTGAAAATTTTAATAGTACAGTGACAAGGGGTGTCCAGTCGAAGGCTCATTGGCTCTGATGGTTGTGTTCACTGGATCTACTCATTTGGTTGGTTGCACTACGCTTTCTTTCAGTCCTGTAGGAAATTACCATATTTACTTCCCTTTTGAAAAATTTCTGGTGGGGCAGGAGTTTGAGAAGGTGCTTTCTTGATGGCTCTGCAGTCAATAGATGGCAGCACAATCAACCAATCAAAGTACTTTTGTGCCCAGCGGTACTTTACTCGCTTTCCAACTCAGTGACCTCCAGAATCGAGCCACACCCAGGCTGACATTGCAGTCCTTTCCTGATGCTGTGGGGTTTGTCTCAAAAATATCACTCTAGGTTCTCTCAGCATCCCTCAAACTCAAACCCCTTTATTGGCACTGAGTGAATAACTCTAACTTTGACTCCAAACTCAACCTTTGCGGTGACAACAGTGAGGCTTTCACCCATGTGACTCTGAACACAAAGTTTGATATCATCTCACAGGACTCGGGCCTGAGTTCAAATTTCGGTAACTCAAAAAAGCATGGCTAATCTTAGGGGCTGTCTGTTATTAAAAGTTATGGGGCGATTTTAAAAACCCAGAGTCAAATCTCACAGCCAGGTCTCCAACACGATTGCCCTTTTTTCCTGTCATCTCTGAGCAGGCAGCAAAGTCAACCAGCTGGACAAGCAGCTGGAGGAGGAGCAGAAGATCCTACAGAGCATCCAAGAGCAGAGAGCGCTGATGACGGTCAAGGAGTTGGCCAAGGGCATCACGTACACGGAGGCACTCAAGACAGCGTACGTACCGGACTCAAACTGGGCCGTTGTGGTGCTGGCCAATTTTTCGACTTCTTAGGCTAGGAGGACTGCATTCCAAATAAGTCTATAGAGGGTTGTAGAGGGTTTGCATGGCTGCCATCTTGGAGGTCAGTGGTTTTGTTCTGCAGGGTATGCACGGAGGAGGTTTCCCCTTGAAACATAAGAACTGCCCTGCAAGATGGCCACCATGCAAAGCCTCTACCAGCAACCAGAATTAGAAACCAGTGCTTCGGTGGCCCCTTGCTCCTGCTGAGGGGGTGCGTGTGTGTTGAAAATCTCTTGGACCAATAGGGTTTTGTTACTTGCCAAAGTGCGTTCTGTTAAAAGGCCAATGCTTGTATGTGGTGAAACTGCTGGAATGACGTCTCCTCGGAGTCTGTTCTACCACTGAAAGCATTACTGTTATGTGTATGTGATCATTACACCCCAACAAATCTGTAGTTTCTGGAAAATTTGACCCTCCGTTGTAAGGTTTGCACTGTGCCTCTGCTGAGGTGGGACTGCATTTGCTGGCTGTTATTAGTGAGATGTGCGGAGGATTTGTATCTGTTCTGAGTCAAAGTAAATGATACTCTACACTGATAACTGATGGTTTAGGAATCAGACTAGTTGGGAAAATGTTACTGTCAGTGGAGTTACTGTCTTTGATTTCCCGACAAGCTGGCTTGCCAACCATTAAAGAATTGGATTTGTTCTTGAATATGCATGAGGTGAACTAGGGAATTTGAGCATGCCTGGTTACAGCAACTCCACTGACTGATCAGTCACTTTTTGTCTCTAGTTGGACTGTTCCAAGGTGCATCCTTAACATGGGGGAGGGTCGCCACGAACGAGTTCGTAAGAAGCTTCACATCATCGTCGAGGGAGACAGTGCACCGCCCCCCGTCAAACACTTCAAGGTATGAAAAAAACACTGCTTGCCCGAGGCTGGTCACCAGCCAAAATGTCATGCCATTTGTGTTGTGTGGTACCAGCTCCAAGCTGGTGTTTACTTGGCTGCCGGGGTGTAGTGACCCCCCCATAATCAATTCCATTTGGCAAATACAGCTTTGGTCTGCTAATGAATAAAAAATTGTTGCTTAAACAATATACGATAGCCGTTGGTATTTCCCCAGTAGTATACCATGGATGTCCATTTCACTCGACACAAGGTTGGTTAATAAGTTACTAGTCACACCCCCCCCAAGGAAATGCCTTCGCTACGCCCCTGCTTGGCTGGTCAATTTTGCTGGGTAATATGAAGAATTCTTTGATATTGTTTTCCATTCCTTGCAAACTCCAAGATGGCACAGATAAGTTGGTGGTGGTGCTTTCGAATTCACGAGTTATTCATTTTGTTCATGATATATAATTTACATTGATTATTCTGGCTTAACACCCTTCTAGTGGGATTAAGACCTCATCTGGTAAAAATCTGACTCTGAAAGAATGGACACAAACCTGACTTAAACAATTTGTGACTAGTTCCTTGTGATTACTTTTCCCCGATGAAGAAATTTAAAGTCTAAGAAAGATAAAAAAGTATGAAGTTCTGTGAGTTGAAACGTTTTTAGAAGATCTTGGAAAATATCCCTCTCGTCATTTCAAATGGAAAGCAATTTCTGGCATTCATCTTAACCTCCGCACTGATGTAAGTCAATGTCGCATCAGTGTCTCAGTGCCACCCGTCCATCTGTCTTGATGACAGGCAAAAACAAATCTGGACATGCAGGTTTTAGCTTGTTAGGCAATTCCCAAGCCCCCAGCTTTTCACATAAATCTTTAACAGTCTTCACATTTCCTTCCAAACTACCCGGTGCAGTAGAAATATGGCCTCAGATAGCTGTCTAAGGGGTTTCAGTTCTAAAAACTTTTCCCAGGAGAGGGCAGGCAGGTTTTAATCGCAGTTGGGAAGGGACAGGCATTTGTTACAATCCCAGACGAAGTCCTGATGTGAATACATGACTGACACAATTTCACGATATTGAAAGTCACCCCAGTTTCTTTATCTCACCTTTTTCTGTCTTTTAAAGGAGATGAAGTTTCCCAAGTCCATCCTCTACGGCTTGAAGAAGAAGGGAATCGTGCATCCCACTCCCATCCAAATACAAGGCATACCCGTGGTGTAAGTCTGAATGCGTTTCTCTTTAACCCTAACCTTCGCAGGGCTTTCAAAATCAACCAGGAAGTCTTGACAGATTTTTTTCAGAGGAGGGGTGAGAGTTCCTGCTCATCGTTGGATGTTGTAAGATTTGGGAAGGTTGGTGGGGAAAAAGTGCCTTGGGGTTAAGGATGAATGGACAATCGGAACAGTTGGGACGTTGACTGAAATAATTGAAACAATTGAAGTTAAAGAGAAAGCTAACTCACCAAGATATTCTGCGACTATTTTTTGGAGGCAAAAAGAATGAGAAACACAAATGGGCTCAGCAGCGAAATCACAGAACTGACAACAGAACTTTACTGAACACAAAGCGATCACAAGGTTTAAAGCAATAAGTGTAGTTAGTAGGCCGATAGTGTCATCAACCCCAACCCTGGAGTGCGTTTTGACAAGAAACCCTGCCAAACTTGTCAATGTGGCTTGCCTGCAGAGTGCAACAGTGCCCAGCAAGTCGGCTCTCGCCAAGGCCAAACAGCCTGGAAGTCTGTGGCATCTAGCCACCAAAGGAATCATCAGTGGCACTGTGCAGTAGGACTTGGTGTACATGTCACTCCCATTGTCTCCATGTGGACAATTTATGTGGCTGGTATTGATTGCCGAGTGCAACACAGTGTGCAAGACTTTATAAACCTGCACTGAGCCGGATCTAGCAGGGTTAGAGTTGATGATGTTGGCCACTTTTTTTTAATGGTGAAAATTCTTCACGGATTTTCTTTTTAGTTGGTATAATCGTCTTTTAAGCTCGTTCAGTCCACTCGTAATCTGCTTAATGTCTTGTGACCGTTCTACAGCCTCTCTGGTAGAGACATGATCGGTATCGCCTTCACCGGCTCGGGCAAGACTCTGGTGTTCACCTTACCCCTCCTCATGTTCTGCCTGGAGCAAGAGAAGAAGATGCCTTTCATCCGGAACGAAGGGCCGTACGGCCTCATCATCTGTCCCTCGGTGAGCGGGAGAAATGTATCACAAAAAAAAATACTCGCATTTCGGGTTATCTTTTAATCCCACAGAACGCGTCTGTGAATTTGAAATACTGACCAAGAAATTCAAACCTCACGGGGCCCACCCCCATGCCTAATGTTTGTGTATGTTGTCCCTTTTTTTCAACGTTTTAAAAGTTTGCTTCTTAATCTGGTCAGCTGAAAAAAATGACTTGCTGTCGTGACCATTTTTCGCACTGCTATCTGCTCTCTAAAGTCAGACTTTTTAACCAGAATATTCAGAATATACCGTGTTAACGTGTAGTATTGATATGTACGACATTAAAATTGACTTCTCTTAGTGAGGGTACCAAAAGAAAAAAAGTTTGATAGATATTACCCCCATAAATATTAGGTCAAAAAGAACATCAAGAGAAAAATTACTCACCTACCCACCCCAATTTTTTTGCTTAGTAGGAGAAGAAACACAACTATTTTGTTGGTTGGCCTAAGGGAAATCACTAGATGCTTCAGTGGAGAGAAGGTTTATTTTCCTCCACAACTTTGCTGGTCACGCATACGTGCATTGAAAATCTTTATGAAGGCCGTTTTGAGGATTTCTTCAACTTTTTTTTTTCAATAGCGCGAATTGGCCAAGCAGACCCATGATGGCTTCCAGTACTTTGCGAAGTGCCTCGAGGCAGAAGGCCTGCCGTCCGTGCGAAGCATGCTGTGCATCGGCGGGATACCGTCCAAGGATCAGATGAAACTTCTGCAGCAGTGAGTACTGGGAACCAACATCTGGAGTTGCTTAAGTCGGGCATTGTCCCTTACTAAATTTACACACTAAGTAAACAACAGTCAAGTACCAGTCAAGGGCAATACAATTCGTCTAGAATTTAGTTGGTAACCAGTTTTTGCTGAGCTTAACAAATGTCTCTGCTGAGCATTGGTGCACACACCAATCAATTCAATTGCTCAGAGTTCAATCTTTCTGAGGTCCCGTCCGAAAAAGAGGTAGAATCTTTAAAGATACTGCTGCAGGTATTTGACCTTTCCAATTGTTGCAATCGCCTTCTTTGATTGCAGGGGCGTGCACATCATGGTGGCCACGCCCGGCCGGCTTATCCACATGCTAAACAGGAAGAGCTTCAATCTGTCAGTTTGTCGCTACCTCTGCCTGGACGAGGCTGACCGCATGATCGACCTGGGGTTCGAGGAGGACATCCGTACCATTCTCACCTACTTCAAGGTTAGCGCATTCCCTTCCCTTGAATGTAGTAACCGTGACTGTACGGATTTGATCTTAATAATGCATGAATTTTTGTGTTTTTAGGCGAGACACTTCACTGTCATTGCTTCACTCAACTCAGTTGTTAAGGTCACCTGTCAGGGCAGAATTTAATTCTATTTTGAAAATATTCCTTTTTTCACAATCCCCCTAGGGCCAGAGGCAGACGCTCCTCTTCAGCGCCACCATGCCCAAGAAGATCCAGAACTTTGCCAAGAGTGCCCTGGTCATGCCGATCACTGTCAATGTTGGTCGGGCCGGGGCGGCATCATTGGACGTCATCCAGGAGGTAGAGTACGTCAAGCAAGAGGCCAAGATGGTGTACCTGCTGGAGTGCCTGCAGAAGACCCCACCACCAGTAAGAACCAGGCCCCACAAATGTAGAATCAGTTTTTATATCAATGATCCATTCCCGTTTTTCGATTACAGTTTGATTGATCCAGCGGTCAAGATTTCTGATGTGTGCTCATTTTCAGTTAAGGATTAAGAAACAAGCAGTCTTAATTGATGTGACTCTTCAAGATTTTTTCTAGATTTCAGACTTTTTAGCCAGTGAGGGAAACTTGACTCTGGAGTCCACACTGAACTCAAAATATGCCACTTAAAATTGCAAAGAGGGACGGAAAAATTTGAAAGTATTTTTCAAACCTACCCCGTATTATAAAATGGCTGAGAAAGTTAACTATGATTGGTGGAACTCATACATACCTAACAGTCCCAAATTCTCTGATTTTTCCATACACCATAGGGGGTTAGGGTTAAGCAGCGCCCTGAAGTGTGTAAACCTGTGGGCTTGGGCAGGCAACGTGCCTCTTAAAAATTTATTCAATCTTGTGGTTGTTAAGTGGTGGGTTTTGTTGAAAACTCGTCTCATAGTTTGTCCATAAACCAATAATCTCTTGATTGGTGTGGCATGTCTGTCCATGGACATTGACGTATAGAATGAAAGGCAGTCAACCCCAGTGTCGCATTTTCATTGTCGTAGGTGCTGATCTTTGCTGAGAAGAAAGCAGATGTGGACGACATCCACGAGTACCTCTTGTTGAAAGGTGTTGAAGCTGTGGCTATCCACGGAGGAAAAGGTACATGATCAACTTTTTTTGTCGCAGCTACCTTCAAATTTGATCACTGCAGTATGGTTTGATCCACCTGTCTGGTAAACATCACTAATTGCCTACAAACCATTTGTTTCTGTTTAACCACTTCGTGCTGGGCCCATTTATCCATGTTGATTCAGCTGGGCTGGGTGATTTTTCATTTTTTTCTGTTTTCAAAATTCTTTAAAAAATCATGACTTCATTTACTGGATGTTTACAGCCACACAAATGACTGTCTGGTGGCTACTCTAATCTGACAGACACCATCTATTGATGCCCAAGTATTTCAAGCAGGCCGGCCGCCTTGTAAATGAGCCCAGATTGTGCGGTGTTATGTAATTTTCTTTTGTTCCTAAAACCGTCACAGTGCGCAGCTGACGTCTTTTCAATGGGGGCCAGATTAGCGTGCAGCGGTATTGTATCGCTCATCACTGGAGTGCTTTTGTCCCCAGGGGTAATCTGCTTGAGCTGAATGCCACAAACAGTGGTATAATCTTACAAAACAATGACGGATTTCCTCCGCCATTGGCAACTGAAAAAAAGTTGGAAATTCCCAGCAGCTCAGTCTTTTGTTCCTGGTGTGGGCTTTTCTTAAAAAGGCCCGGCTCTTTTGTCCGGTTTCAGGCAGCCCAGCTTTAGGTATAAAGAAAATGAACCCGAAACCGGGTCCCCTAGCAGCAAGTGGTTAAAAAAGTGGTTGCTGTCTATTTAGGAAGTAAGTTACATTTGTGCAAATGTTCACTGTGTTGAAGTTGCTTTTTATGTGTTTATTGATCACTGCGTTAAGAACTGGTGCATTGAAAATGCTGTTTGAATTTGTACATCTTCTTGTTGAAGAAGCTTTTTAAAAAAATTGGCTGGCACCACACATTTTTTTCAGCTACATATTCTGGGGTTCAGGAAGCCAGACCCAAATGGCTGCTATGCTAGCATCTCGTGCTAAAGTTTGCAAACTGTGACTTTCAGGAGAAATGGAGTCAGTCTCTTTTTTTCAAACTCCCTCTCAGACCAGGAGGAGAGAACCCGCTCCGTGGAGCAGTTCCGGCAGAAGGAAAAAGACGTCCTAGTCGCCACTGATGTGGCCTCCAAAGGGCTGGATTTTCCTGATATCCAGCACGTCATCAACTATGACATGCCTGAGGATATTGAAAATTATGGTATGTATGTCCAGGTTCCAACCGGATTCATGAAGTGTTGTTTGCTTAGTGACGTTTTGGAAACTGGGGAACATGCATGGTCCATTTTGAGTGATCTTTTTATGAATAAAAGAAGCCTAAAATGTCAGTGTACCAAGTAAGGTGAACTAACAAATCACAGTCGGGACGATCGGGCTGAGTCAATTAGAATAATTCACTTTGCGAATATGTGACCTACAATTCAATCGAATATCCAAATATTCAGTCGTTGTGACTGGCAGAATGTTGGTGAACTAACCATATACAAAATCAGTTGCAACAATGCGCACAAACTGTACATTATAATCACTATAATAGCTTCTCACGTCTAGGAGTATCTCCAGCCCCAATTTAGCAAGATTTAAGAGATAAACAATACTTCTTGCCCTGTTGAAAATTTCTATTCCCTTTAACCACTTGCTGCCAGGGACCCGGTTTTGGACACATATTCTTTATATGCACAGCTAGGGTGCCTGAAATCGAACGAAGGGAACTGGGCCTTGTAACAAAAGACTGTTCTGGTAACAAAAGACCAAGCTGCTGGGAATTACCAACATTTTTTCACTGTCAATAGAGGAGATAATCCAGCATTTCTTTGAAACAGTATACCACTGTTTGTGGCATTCAGTGCGAGTGGATTACCACTGGGGACAAAAGCGCTCCACCACCACAGTGATGAAACACATAGTACAGCTGCACGCTAATCTGGCCTCTGTTAAAAGAAGTCAGCAGCTCACTGTGCCAGTTTTGGGAACACAAGAAAATTATGTAACACCGCCAATTCTGGGCTCTTTTTACAAGGCGGCAGGCCTGGCTGAGATACTCCAGTGTCAATCATATGCAGCAAGGTATGAGACGGGGAGAACCCCCCCTGCTTTGTGCTGGTCATTGTCTCGCAGGAATCTGGGAATTCCTTTCAGACATCTTGGGGGGGATGTGTTAAGTAACAATAGTCTGGAATGTGTATAGGGATTGGACATGTTGGGGGGGGTACCTCTCGGTCTCATTTCTTGCTGGGTATAGTGTCAATAGATGTTGTCTGTCAGACTAGCCAGACAGTCATTTGTGTGGGAGTAAGTGTCCAGTAAATGAAGATATGAATTTTTAAAGAATTCTGAAAACAGAAAAAAATGAAAAATACTCCAGCCAAGCAGAATCAACATTTATAAATGCCCCCAGCCTGAAGTGGTTAAATTTGTTAATGAATAAATTACTTTTTGAATCGTAAGATTTTTGTCGCTCTTTATTTGAATCTGCTTGAAGCAAGCCTCCATAGGGCAATTTTGCTCGTTTCAAACAAGAAAATTCTCCCTCCCTTTTCATAAATTTTGCATTTGAATATTCAAATTTGGAAAATAATATTCAAATATTTGATAATCGATTGAATATTTGGATATTCAGCTTAGACCTAGTGAGTTTTGTTTTAAGCTAGCAAGATTTCAGTTGCTATTTGCAGTGGGGAGGCGCGGGTATTCAATCCACTGTGATAAATAATGCATATGTTATGAGATAAAAGTAACTGCCTATGGTTCTGGTTGCCAGGCAACACTCCTGCACCGCCCTCAACTGGCCTACATTAAAATTGCAGAACTTTGAAGTTAAACCTACTGTTCTTTGATCTATAATTGTGTTTTGTTATCTAGTTTTGGGTTTTTTATTGTGCATTTTCTCTCTTTTTTTCCCAGTTCACAGAATAGGCAGAACAGGTCGATGTGGCAAAACGGGAATTGCTACAACATTCATCAATAAATCATGCGGTAAGTTGTATTTATGTTCCAGTGAAAAGAATGATAATAAAAATTTTCTTTATGTTGCCCATATGACATTCAGGTCCTTTTGAAAGGTGCCAACACTCCACCTTCTTGCAAAAGTAAGAAAGAAGTAATGACTGGTAAAGAAATATGGCAGATACTTATATGACAATGCTGCTGTGTGTTCAGCGCTTATGAAGATGGGTTGTGCACATCAAAATGAAAGTTACATATGTTGAAACAGGTGTACTCATTCTTCATTTTAAATTTTTAGAGAGTGAAATGGAGAGAAAACTCAAGAAAACCGAGTGTGCCTTTGATTGCTCAGATAGTTTGGAAAGTGTTTTCATAGCATTGTTTTTGTTTTCCATTATTCAGAGGAGTCGGTTTTGCTGGATCTGAAGCACCTGTTGTTGGAGGCGAAGCAGAGGGTGCCACCGGTTCTGATTGCTCTCGGAGGGAACGAGGAGCACCTGAGTATTGGAGGTGGGTATGAGCCTTGACCTAGACCAAGACAAGGTGCTATTTTCTTTGCAACGGAGGCTCCCTTGGTCAGAACTGCACTTTGCTGGTTCACGAAAGACTAGGAAATGCAAACATTACATTCGCATCACTATCAGCAAATTTGAACACTCCCGACTAGCATGGCTCTTTTCAACCAACGAGGGGATGTTTCTATTTGAGACGGATTACCCAAGTGAACTGTGTTTGTTGTCATAGTCATTGTCATAGTCATTGTCATAGTCTCTTGGCTTACAGTTTTATGTCCCAGTTGTTGAACCATTAGGATAATTGTCATAGTGTAGCTAAAGTCACAAGCCCTCTCAGATGTCTCCACCTAGGACCAATGAGCCAGTTCAGTGTTCCAACAGTTCATGCCAAACTGAAGGGAGATCATTCGGAAACGGGAGCGCACACGCTCGATAGTCTGCCCTATCAATGCCATTCAGCACAGCCATACGCCGCCTCAGGCGTAAGCTTCGTTCTCGAAAGACCTTGCTTTTTTGAAAAACAGAATTTTCTTATTATTTGACCTGCAGCCATTTGCGAATTGGGTCGTGTCCCATAGACAACTTGGAGCATTAGCGTTACGTGTGTTTGTACTTGTGTGTGGGATGCACTCTCAAAGCGTCGTCTGTAGCACATGCAGATCAGAGGTTTTCTCAGATTTCGAAGAGGATTCTCCTCGCCGTGTGCGGTCATGATGTGTTGACTGCACATGTATGTACAGGCCCATGTATCTTAATCATGCACAGCGTGGACTTGCTCTCAAATTTGATGGTGTATCATGTATCAACATGCCAGGGAACCACAAATGTTTGGAATTAGTTTGTTTGTCCAAGGTTTGGAATATCACGATATTCAACAGACACTGTGATTGGACAATACTTGTGAAAAGCAATAAGTTAATTCTTGGAGGTCCCAAGCAGAAAATATTGCTTTGCAACTTTACATCCTAAGTGAAAAATTGTGAAAAAGACTGATCGTAGGTAATACATGCCGCATGTCTCTTTGCTTGGTAACCTGTGTCTGCTAAGTACATGTAGGTATTCCTCCTGCTTAGCAAATCTGTGTGCTTAGCAGCCTTATGAAATATAGCCCCTGGAAAGCCTTGCTGATGGAAGAATGGGTTACCAGCCATAATTGGTATGTGATGTGTACAGTTCTCATGGCTGGTTCTCAGCTGGGGATTTGATTTGCTAGTCTTGAAGTTTTGCTCAATGGCTGTTGAATAGGCAAATATTTCAGATAACCCGAGTGTGGGAAATTGATGGGGGAAGTCCAAAGTATTGCTTTGTTTCACCATTATGTTTCTTTCTTTTTCTCTTGCAGACGAGCGTGGCTGCTCTTTCTGCGGTGGGCTGGGCCACCGCATCACTGAGTGCCCCAAACTGGAAGCCATGCAGACCAAGCAAGCCAGCACTATCGGCCGCAAGGACTACCTCGCCAACAGCGCTGCCGACTGGTAGTCATCTCCACCATTGGCTGGAGGAATAACGGTAAACCATGCCAGGCCCCGAAACTTTTCAAATCAAGGACTGCCTTGCTACCAGTGCTGCGGTCTGATAGGCAGCTTTACCACCGGCCAGGAAGGGACGATAGACTGTGCTAGAGGTTGCATGCTGTCACTTGAAGGCTGCCTGGCCAAGCGTGCTGAAGACTGGTAGAAAACCTTACAGCAGGCTTTTAACAGGGATGATATGTTGTGGCGGAGATGGACATTTCTTTAAGTTTACTTGGCAGGCAGCAAGATGGACTGCTGTTCACAGCTGCACTGTAGGCCAAGGTCTAGAGAGAGATGGTAGACTCGTCATTACAAAGATTACCTTGCAAACAGCACCACGGATTGGTAAACAACTGTACCACAGTCTGGTAAACCACTACATTGGAATAAGGGTCATTGGTGGGTCTGTGGGAGGGGGACTATGGCCCCTCAAAAGAAGTAACATTTTTTGGAGTTTTTGAAAAAATGGAAAATGACAATTTCTTGGGAATGTTTCACACCCCTTCCTTCCACAAGCGTGTAAAAAGCCCCACATTTTAGCCTCACTTTTCAGAAAGGCCACAAAAGGTTACGTAAAGAAATTTCCCAAATGTTGCCCTTCCCCTAAAAAAAAACAAATACAAATTTGGGCCATCCCCCAAATGAAGGTCTGGATCCGCCCTTGATAGGTATGGTAGCCCAGGTTGGACATACAAACTTGCCATAAAAATACCAGGCTGGAATGGCAAATGATTGCTTTACATATAAGGGATGGATGGTAAGACACATGGGGAAATATTCCATGAATCTTGCCTATAATAAGAGTCAAAGATGAGCCAGTGCAGGAGAAATCTTTTTCTTGAGAAGTCCTCTGACACAGGATCACAGGGTCAGCCAATAGGTATTCCATGCTGCTCTGTGTGCCTCAGAACTTCACCAACCAGGTTACAAGAAGGGCATTATCAGAATGGCATGCGCCAGTCAGTGAAGCCTCAGAGGTCAGGTCACCAGTCTAGATCCGAGAGACTTTGAACTTGTCATGGTGAAAGTCATGGGACTTACCCTGTGGGCATTTTATTCGGATAAATTGAGACACTGTGACTAGGATGTCTCTTTGTCATTACCCAAAATTTGTCCTCCAAAATTTCCAGTGTGAAACTGTAACATTGCAAGAACGACTGAACCTGTTATACATGTACAGTCAGTTTTCATCAGAAGTATGTTCTTTTAGCATAAATAACTTGAGGCTAAAGTTAAATTCTGTACACGTGTTGATATGTTTCTGTATCCTGTAAATAAATCTGAGAAAATGATTTTGGGATATGACTGATTTCATTGCATAAGATTCAGTCTTCAGGGCCGACCACATAATTATATCAGGGTTCGAGCAATCACGGTAAGTTTGTGCGGAACCATTTTTGTTGCAAACTGGCCAATTTTCCCCGGTGACCTCTACACAAAAATGCATCCTGGATACCAGGCAAAAACTACCAGTGGTTGATGGATGCACTGGAACTTGCCGATCATGTGCCTGAAAGGGCCTAAAGCGCCCTCAATTGTCATGAAGCGATAAAACCCCAAGGCCCATTTGTTGAACATGCGTTTGGAGGAAAGGACGTGACTGCCCTATCTCTGAAATTGTAAGTACATGTTAAGCCATTTTTATTTCGAATGGATTTTACTAGCTTTGCCTTCCTATTGACCCTTAGGGACTCCTCGTTTTATTGACCCTTCGATGGTCCTTGTAAAGGTCACAATCATAGTCCACCCGGTGTTACTGAAGACTATTGACATTAGGGCCTAGGTCGTACATTTTCTCTGTCGCTACCAACGTTTGAACTGAAATTAAGCAGCCCTTATTTATTTACATTAAACTTCAGCGAAGCACTTCATTTGTCATTCTCAGATTTGAGGTTGTCGTAACATCTAGAACTTAATCCTCTTTTGGTATTTGCAAGGATGAGCACTTAAAAATTGCACGATTGTATTTCGTTTCGTTGATACCTACAAACGAGAAGGCAAAGTGATAGGAATTAACTCCAGAAGTTTTTAAAATGCTTACAAGTCCTCAGATTATTTTAATGTTGCTTTGATCAGTCTCTCGAAAGCTTTTAAGCCTAACTTTCAAATTTGCAGTGGGTTATGTAATAACATACAAAATAATGGCACTTCCATGATTCCTATTTCCAGTGTTTGCACTTTGTTGGAGTTGGCTTATTTTGAATACCGATCTAGAATTTGACATTCACTTAATATGTAGCATTACGAGTGACCAAAAAAATATTGCCAACAATTGCTAATTCAAGTTCGGCCTTTGATCGATGAGCCGGTGTAATTGAAAACATTATTAAACGACTTGTTATCTTAATAATTAAAAAAGGAAAAAGAATTGTGTTTCAGAAATTTAAAGTTTCTCAGCAAGACTTAAGCGTCTCTTGTCGCTGGACGCCCGTCACGGTATCGGGCGCCCTCTGTTGGCCTAGCTCGTCGCACGTACTTGGACAGACGCACATTGAGGACTATAATTGGTAAGCAGCAAAGCGAAATGATGCCGGTGGACAGCCAGAGGGCGTTCTGCCAAAGGACAGGGGAACGAGTATACTGAGAGAATAATGAATTGAGCAAACTACCGATGCATGTCACATTGTAGATAACGCAAGCTACAGAAGACATTACGGTAAGCAAAGCAACATACTCTTTTGTTAGTATATGTACGATTTCAGAGCCATACATTGGTGAATGAATTCATTTTGAATTCTCCAGAAGCCTGCATATTCACGACGCCAAAATGGACGTTGTACGTTTGGGGTGGGGTTTTGGATGGCTATTGTTCAGTTGGTTCAATTATACTGTTATATGGATGTCCGGCGATAATTCCACATTCAATGCGATTGTTGACCTGGAACTGAAATATTGTAAGAGCTCATTTTCCCTTTCCAAGGGAAGTCAATCGTGTACTTACGAATCCTGTCAGAAAATGCACGCAGACCTCGGCCACTGTCGCTTCGTATGCCTCGGCCACAACGCCACACCGCCCGACCTCGTTTTCGATCTAATTTGAAAAGACGTTCATTTTTGTCTACAACATGGCTTGCTGCTGTAAACTGTCGTTTAAGTTAATGAGGAATTTAGTCATTTTTGTTCCATATTGTGCAATATAGGCATTGTGTGTCAAACGGCATTATCTCACCTTATTTATTGGCCCTGTAACAAGTTCCTCTGCGCTTACGACGAGGTCGTCTATGTACGAGTTCAGGGACTGAAGATATGCGCAGAAACAAAAATAACACGTTTGAGTATACCTAGTGCTCCAGCGCGTGGTTTTCTCATTAAATGGAAACGGTCAGAAAGTTTCGGGGCATGTATGTAAGTTTTTTGAAGAAACATAAGCTAGTATCTGTTTGTAAAGTGCGGAGTGCCTGCACATTGAGAAAAGAGTGCACAACAGAACATGGAAATAGTGGTCATTTTCCATCCAGTGCGAGTGTTTTGTTCTTAACGTAGCAGAACGTGGGCCGGGTCTGGTTTCTCACCGTCTCGATAAGGTTGGTAGCGTCTGAGGACAGGTCAAGCAAGTCTTGCGAGCCGCTGGCGATGCTTGGCAAAGCATCCAACGTCAGATTCTGTGTCAACAAATTTGGAAAATAGCATCACTTTTGTGAGTCTGCGTTATGCTTGACCACTTCATTTCAGGCATGATTTCACTGCTGTGCTTACTCGTGTATAGCATCTAACTTGATAGGGTCTAATACATATACAACACAGCGTTTACTAAACCAGCCACTTTTAGTCTAAGCACACGAGGATTCATTTCTTACGAATACCTTAACTTCGTAGAAACTCGCTTCAAAGGATGTAACCTCACTTGTGTATGTATTCTGGAGGAAGAAAAATAGATTATGACATTCAGTAAACTACCAACTGAAAAGCATCATAGTCTTAGAAATGTTCCCATCATCAGCCATTTGCATTAAGCTTACCAGAAGAGCGAGCAGATCCGCTTGCATGGTTACCAAGCTCTCCAGGTCTGTGAGGATGCTATTGGCATTGTCAACTTGTTGCTTCGAAAAAAAATGCCAATGGGGAAATTGTGAGTATCACTCAATAACGTGTCGACGTTTTCAGGACCATAGCAATGAAATCGTTTGTTTAAACATGAACTTCAAATGCTGAACTGCAAAATTGCAACTAAATGCCTAAATCACTGAGTGGTGCAGATTTCTGTCCCTTTACCTGGAAGTCTGGCTGTGAAGCCCCATGAGCGTCGTATGCCTCCCACGTCTTGTTGATGAATAGATTTAAAGCGTCGATGGCACCCTGCCCTGGTACGGCCTCTGTAAGTCCTTTCAACTGAGAATGATTAACTCTTGCGTTAGAAAATGGAAATCCTAGCCGATTTTATGAAGAAAGCAAAAATGAATGGATCGTTTCTATCATTACAGACATTACCTTTAACGGCCGTCAGTTTAATTAACTGGGGAGAGTGAGCGGTCTCTTTTGACGAGTCCATTTTAGCTAATTAACGTGTAATTTTTTTCGTCCAAATGCAACGACTATTTATCACATCCTACCCCTGTACATGCTGAACAACCTGGTTTAGTCACTTTACAGCCAAGGCCTCCCCTAGCCAGAAAAAATTTAAAAATCCAGCCGGCCTCCAGCCAGCCTCCAGCCAACTCCCATAAGACTGTGTGCTAAGTGGCCCCTCGTGTACAATCTAATGGACTGTTCACAAAACGGTGCCTGGGGCAGACAGTGGAATTTTTTTTTATCAGTGACAGCTGTCTGAAACTTGTCAGAGGCCTCTTTTGGCTGTCTCTTAAGTGTTATTTTGGTTGGGGGGGGTTTGTGGTGGTGGCGTGGCTTGGCTGGCGCGTGGCGAGGCCCCCCTCGGGATAGCCTGGGATTACGGCCCCCACGGTACTGTGATGTACCTTTGGTGGTTTTTCAGAGCATTTATTTACCTTTAAGACGGACTCAGGGCTCTACAACCGTGAGAAATGATACAGACTCACCTGGCGACGCCGGTCCAGAGACCGTGTAAAGAAAAATTCATAAACGCGTCCCAGGGTTTTAAGTGTCATTGGATTCAGTATGGCAACAGCAAATGGCACGTAATGCTTTGACGCAGGATAGAAAAGGTGGGAAGTCTTTACCAGTCTGGTAAGGAGCCCGCTCACTTACCGTGCCAACAGAGTGGACCATTGAAACCAGCGGGAAAGCAGGTACTGAGAGTGCCGAGACGAGGAGGGTGAGAGGGGTGGGTCCAGTCAGCAGATCTAGGCTGTTGATAGTAGAAGACATGTTTTGCCTGAAGGCATCTACGTATGGCATGAACTGCAATTTAGTGGGAATTGAAAACAAAGGAGAGATACGTTAGGTCTACTTGTTAGGCCTCGTTGGTCCTGTCTTAATTGGGGCCGGTCTCAGGTAGACGGAATGTCCCATCAGGCCTATTCGGAAGTGCTTTGAAGAAAGCCGGCAGTCGTTACCGGAATAGCACCCTTCGTTTCTATATCTTCTTTGTGGCCTGTCCCCATTAGCTAAGTACCGGCACATGTACATAATTCATTGGAGCTTCCAGACGGGTGCATATGCGGATGTCAGTGTATCATCGACGCTTGTATATAGCGTCACGCTGTTGAATTCGTCACTTTCTCAGAAGTGATGGCAGGATTGCGTACGGATTTCGAAACTCTGGATCACGATTTGTAAGAAGGAAATCATCGATGGCACGAATGTTGACAATATCGTGGACTTGCCTCTGAGATATCTACGGCGTCTATGCCGTCTAGGAGACCAACGGACGACAGATGCAACGCCTCGTATATTGCCTGGTCCTCCTGACAATCTCTGTTCATAAACGGAAGAAACAAATCACAAAAGACTGCCTTTCATGTGAAATACTACCCACACATGCTGCAAATCACTACGACGAAGCTTCGCCTGGTACGTACAAACATGCATTGTAATTTAATATTTTCACATTTTGATAGACCTTAAGCATAATGACGTCACACTCTGTTTACATGTGCGCTTCCTATGACAGTGAGGTGGAACACGATCTATGGAGGTCTCCTAGGAAAGCGCACACGTAGTCCTGAACAAACCTTGACGTCGTCATGTTACAAGTCTGTTTGAATGTATCATTTACCACTGTTATTCTTGACTGAAAATACGGTTCAACGCCGAAACCGTAACACAACAAGCAAAAGGTAGCGTTTGGTGATAAAAACCTTTCGTCTGTCAGAAAAATTACAGCCTAGTATTACTTGTAGCACTGTACTGAGTGAACGTACGATGTCACAAATTGTTACTAATGAAAGAAATAATGGTATTATAAAACTGATCGCAAAAGGGAATTTTGATGGAAAACGAGACAAGCATGGAGTTGCCAAAATTCTCAGACCTAAATGCAGATTTCAGTCACTGTGTAAAGTGCTTGTAGTAATGTAAGGCCAAAGGCATTTAATCAGGCGATTGTGCCTCATCCTTTTCAGTACGTACTCCATCAACAAAATTCTCGTGACTTTCATCATCACTGTTATGACTTACTCTAGGAAATGTCGGGCTGTGAGATTCAGAGGAGAGTTGCCAAACCGCACGACGGAGTCTAACAGGGTGCTTCCATTCCACAGCAACGGGTTGTCCACCAGCTGTGTGCACGGGTAAAGATATACTCGTCACAAAACCGCTCCCGTGACTTCAGCCTAGTCTGCTAAACATCGGATGTCGCTCGGACTAATTTCATCCCTGCCTTCCTTTGTGAGTTCTCAGGCTGTCATGATCCTACATCTTTACCATCCCCGTTTTCCCTTTAGTTTCCCCAATAGAAAAGTGACTCTCTGCTTTCATACAACTGACGATGACATTAAAGCTCACACAATGGCAGTGTGAATAGATAAACAAAGACAGCAAAGCCGTTTTGTAGAGTCGGCTTGTTTTTAAGTCATAAAGTTAACCTTGTGAAACTCCGACAGTTGTCCATCTTTTATTCGGCAAAGAATATCATCCTGAATTAATCATTTTCCATGTAGTGTTAAATGTGCTCACAAATATGCAACTGTGATTTTGAATAGGTAATTTACAGTCCAACATGGTCCAACCTTATCCATGATGGTGAGGTCGTTCATAGCGTCGCAAATCAGTGTCACGTTGGCTCCGACGATGAACCAAACAGCCGTGGGTAGACAGAACAAAAATGCAAAGACAAACGTCCACCACGTGGATCTACATGAAACAAAAACCATCAGTGTTAAACAAACCAAAGGAAAATGTATCGCTCATACGAGCGACTTACAATAGTGTGCCCTCAAAAGTTTACAACGCGTTGACCAATCACAGAGCGTGAAATCTGCCGACCGTTTTCAAACGCGCACTGGGTGGACAGATTTCGTGCGCTGTGATTGGTCAACGCGTTGCAAATTCTTGGAGGCGCACTTTTGTGAATCCCCTGCATTGCATCACCACTGTAAACTGCCGTCCACTATCATGTATGGCTTTACCCCATCATGAATTTGCCGCCGCACTCGGATATTTTAGTCCGCTCGCTGGGTCGTCTGGTCTTGTCGTGTGCACACCCGCCACAAAGCACTCCCAGGAGGCACAGGAGAGACATCACAAAGCCGAGAGAAGCGAATACCATGAAGGCCACATAACTACATTCAGCCGAGAGGAATATTAATATCAAACGTTCAGTATATGAAGTGAGGCGGTTGGCGTCGATATAATTAAACCTCTACAGAGGAGCCCTGTATATTATCAAATCATTTTGTAAGATAGAACTTGGGGGGCTTACAAGCTGTCCACTATCTGTACGTTAATCTCTTTGAGCGAGGTGGACAGTTTTCGGTTGAAAGCATGAAAATCTTGTGGTAAAGCTAATGGGTAATAGCAAGGAAGTACACTTTATTATTAAAAAAAAACAACATTTACAACAATCAGGATTACATGTTGAATTTAATAAGGTGTTATTCGCTTGCTATTTTGACAATATGGGCGTTTCCTAATAGTGCGCCTAAGAGTTTGCAACGCGTTGACCAACCACAGTGCGTGAAATCTGTCGACCCAATGCGCATTTGGAAAGGGTCGACAGATTTCTCGCCATGAGATTGATCATTACATTGCAAACTCTTGAAGGCGCACTATTGTGAATCGCTCGTGTTGTACCTTGTTAGGTTTGGGACTGACAATGTGACAGCCTCGATCAAAGAAAAAAGGTTGCATTGTCATTGCTTTATGTTGGCCTAGTAACAGATAAAAATGAGATAAATTTTTTTTTCACTGTGATGATATAAGACTTCAAATCGTTGCCTGCTAACCTGTACATATCGTACTCTTCAACCAGGTCCACGTACTCACCAACCTGATCACGGAAGACTTGCGTGTCTAGTGACTCACCTAAACTCTGATTGAGTATTTAAAAAAGATCAAAGTCGATATTACAAGAAAAGGAACGGTAATAAGAAAATAAGCCTTGGAAGATTCAAGTATTAGAACGTGCTGTGCTGTGTAACTGTTGAAATTCTGAGGCGTTTGAGTGTATGTATTTGATCAATGTTCATGTTGTCTGAGGTAGTTTTGAAAGTGGTGTAACACATGATATACTTTCCAACGAGAACATTTGCAAAATCTCTCTGATATCACTTTATTAAATGAATTCTGTAAAAATTACCTTCACCCCTCCTTTTTAAAATCAACCTCAGCTCCGCCCTTGCATAGCTCGCACTTTCAATACTAATTACCTCCTCTAATCCTGAGACCACTTCATCTGTCGTTGCAGTCACCGTCGTCTGAATTGTGGCTAATGTGTCACCGATGTCTGGTGGGAAAAGAATTCAATTCAGTATTTCGTTTTGCCCCGTTTTTTTCTTTGCTTTGGCATCCGAACGGAAAATGAACTAAAGAATTTTCTCTTGGACTTCTTATTTAAGGTTACTTTTCTTTTCATTTTATTGAAGATTATTTGCACGGTTTTTCACGAGGTCTCCAAGGGTGTCCGTATTTTTTTACCCTAAGGTAGGATCTGTTGGTCGGGGGAAAAGGGGAAAAGTAACTTCCTTTACCCCAGAAATTCTTTATATTATCATGTTTTGTTCTTGATAGGAAATTCCAGACAGGGTCGGCGGCACAAAACGTTTTTTTCCGCTCGGTCAGGTCAAAAAAGGAGGGCTTACTGTAGCGGTCGTTTATCGTCGATGCTTTTAGTGTCGTACAGAACCATCATGTCGTCATTTTGAACCATTGTGAATACAAGACGTCATAGCATTAACCTCGTACCCTGAAAAACGTCATCGGTGGCATAGCTTACTGCTGCTTGAGCTTCTCTCAGTGCAGAGTCTCCCTGCGAAGTCAATTGATAGTGAGACAAAAATGATGACACTCGCCAACACAATGTAGTTCTAAACCATTTTCGCAATTGTGGCCTTTTGATTCTACGGATTCGAAGTTACAAATTCAGATTTTGTGACTTACCGTCAGTAGAAGATCGGAAATTCCAGTAAGGGCTGGGCCAGGAATAGCTGTGTACATAACGATGGGAGTCACGTCGTATGCATTCAACTGAGAACGGAAACAAATTTCTGAAAGTTGCAGCGAGCCGCAGCATACAATGAATTGAAGGTGCTATTTGCTCCACTTATATCCAACGGAAAGTCAGTAGCTAAGTTTGACAGATTTGTCCTGTTGAATAACAACGCCCCTTTGGTATCTTTGAAACATGTCTGGCTGGTTGAATAGGTATTAAACTACTAATGACGAGGCATACAATGACACCTAGTTTCTGTAGTGTGCAGTTGGAGCCAGTCTGTTTTAAGTCGGTCGAGTATATGTATAGGTGACACTTGCAAAGAATGCACAAACATGCAACAACTCTTTAAAAGTATTTTTTAAAGGAAGCAGTAGCCTAGAGTTTCTACCATGGAATAGGACAGCGACCCAGCAAACGGACTGTGATCGGGAATGAAGGTGCAGACTCCACCGACGGTGTCAGGAACGCTTCCACTGCAGTCGCTATCACGGAAATTCTGGAGCTCGGAGGCGACGTCGTTCACCACTGTCTGGAATGCCAATCCGTCGGTCTTGAGTTGGCCGATGGTTCCGCCGAGGCTACCAGTGATAGCCGAGAGTGATGTCAATGGAGGACCCAAATCTATCCAAAAAAGATTCATGCCCAGTATGAATGCATCTTTGCGTTACTTGTAAATTTAAAATGAAACGCCTTTTGGGAAATAAACGTGTTTCGATGTTTAGAAGGTGTTACCACCTGATATTACATGTTTTTGTGTCTTATTAGTTACACCCAAATGTGTTATTGTGTCTAAATTTATCAACACATCAACACGTATTTAAAAAAAAATAAACACCACAACATGTTTAAGTTAGGGTTATTAACATTACAACACGTTCATAAAGTGTTGTCAGGAAACCCTGTAAAACTTTGACACTTGTTTTTACTGTGAAGGAAAAAATCTGTCTTGATTTGCAGGCTGTGCCCATCGTATTGCCCTGGCCACCGCTACTGTATATAGGTAATTAGGCTATGCACGGGTTGACAGTAATTTGTGGAAAATATTATGAAGAACGCGACTCTGAGAAATTCAAGCAATAAGAAACTCCAGAGGGCATGACAGTTACCTTGATTGAGTTGCAACACCGTGCTGTTGAGCAGCACAGAGATACTTTCGAACTCTGTAGCAACAGGACCGAAGATTGCGTTGTTGGCATCTGAAAATGGTAGTGTCAGGCCTGAGTCATATTTGGATTGATGGTAACAATTTATCCACATGAAACCCGAATTCGCCTATCTGCCGTACTGCGAGTTGCTTTCTTCATTTCAATGCCCCAATTGATATTGGTCAGTGACATAGAGGTTGATTTATCGCATCACTGCAATCACTTTCCAACAGTAAAGAGGAACATTTCACAGCACGTTGCTCCGTCGTTTACGACAAATCACATATCCCATATACATGTAAGCTTAATATCCTCCCCCTAAAGATCTAACAAAGCTGCCAAGTCTTATTGCAAAATAGAATGACCTCTGTGGACCCAGTATCATTAAGACAACAGTGGCAGCCTTTGAGACGTTTGGTTGCAGTGTCTAGTCGCAACAGGACACGTTCGAGGTGTCTGAGCATGTGCCAAATGTCGCGAACAGTAGAAAGGATTGTTGTGTTTGCTACCATTAAGTGCCTCAAAGGCCCCCTTGATATGAATGTACCTAACCTTCCAATGACTGCATGGTGTTATGAATGATGTAGCTGATGTTACCAACTTGCCTCAGATCCTAATTGAAATCAGAGAATGACTTGTGGTTAAAGTCACTGAAGATTAATTTAAAATCTGAGTTTGCGCATGCTTTGGCGAGTCTGTTTCTAACCGTGCACACAATTTCTAGGTTTTTGTTGAGTATCATGTTGTTTGAAACATGTTACTTGCAGTAAAACAACTTTTATCTAGACTCACCCCAAGTAGTTTATCTTGGAAGTTGTCTATGTCGTCCATAATGGAATTCACTTTTCCCTCGAAGTGCATGACACTCTGCGACAGTCGCTCTCCTGAGAGAATGGTAAAACAGCTGGCCGCCCTTCAAAATGGGGAGAATTTTAACCTGATTTTAGAAGATCGTATTTTAGACTTAACAGAAAGAAACGCATTCCATCGTCAAAAGGCAAATGGCAACATTTACAGCTGATTGGAGTGAACATCAAAAGAACCAGAATTTATAAAAAGCTAGGATCTTGGGTATTGGGTCAGCCAAAGTTGGCACGCCATCGCTCACGGTTGGACAGTGAATTTTGTTTAGACTCCTTTCTGTTCAAGATTACCAGAAGCCATTATTGACATAATTTTGCAAAACGTTTGGCGTACACTTACTCTCGGTCCTATATTTTCATTGCACAAGTTGATGATTTGGAGTCTATTTTCAATGAACTACGAAACTAGACCAAACGCGGCCTCTTGGTGGCAGCAAACACAATTCTTCCACCATTACGTAAGGCCATGAACAAAACAGGTCCTGTGGTTTTAAGTTACGGCTATTCAACGTGGCGTCGTAATAACAACAAATCTGAAGCAACGTCACAAAACATTTTGGACATGACCTTCTGTCTGCAAACAAGTTACGTCACTCACACAACGAGGAGCGAGAATACCACCAGGAACGTGCCCATTATGACCCCCGTACAACACGCCAGTTTACGGATCCTCTCCTCTCGACGCACGGCCCCGCACTGGCCGCAGCACCGGCACAGGCAGAAAAAGACGCCCGAGATTGGAAGGAGTAAACCAAGGAGCAGGAAGACCAGAGACACCCCAAATATGCCAGCCTCGGACTTGACAATCTAGAAGGTAAAAGAAATGTGTATCTGGGGTGCAGGCATTTACTGAGGAAATTTTAAGAACCAGTTTGAGACAGCCTTGTTTGTTTCAAAGGAGGTTTAAATTTGTTGCGCATGAAATTAAGTACCCTTCACACTCACTTGAACACATGACACTCTTATGACATGTAATATATTTCGTTCGCGTAGGAAATGCATTGCATGCAATGGGCCATATTGCTCCATTGCTGCTGACAAGTCTGGGCCTGCTCTCCCAGGATACGTCGTACACTAATCTGTGCTCGGGGCTGCCTTTGTTACACATGAAGGACTCGACCATAAGCGTACACGTACTATCATGCTCAAAACCGATATTTATAAAATTGTTGGCAAGGCATTAAATTTTCGAGCAGGGTCCTCAAATCTGTCCACATACCCCACTAAGTCATTAAACGTCGGTAATTTGCCGACTGCTCTTCCAGTCGAGCTAATTGGCTTAGACAGCACTACAACTCGCAAATAATTTAATTCAGTATCGTGCAATATTGGTCCAATTAAGTTTGCTCCTCACTGCTACATGTGAGAGTCAACTGTGATTGTCATGTACATGTATTACAAATCAGGTTCCAGGAACTTCACTTTCAACCTCGCCTTATCAAGTAATCAACCTTGGAGTTTTAATCCAATCACTTGACTGGCCTTCACTCCGCAAGTGCCAGACGTTTCCCACGCGGAAATATAGGCCTATCCATCCTTGGTAATAGTTGTTCGCGGCATCCGCTGCTACAGCTGACTCAAACAAGCCAGACTTCTGGTTAAGACGTCTGCGCTTTTAAGCAGGAAGTCGTGGGTCCTAGTCCCACCCAAGTAAGCTTGTGGCTTTTTTCACAAGCCTTCGGGGGCAAACACTGAGTATTTAGCGTTATAATACACGTCGGGCATGGCAAAAAATCCAAAATTCCATCAACACTGTGATCTCCTATAGGCGCAAACCCATCCTTGGAAATAATTATACCTTATCTAATTGTCTATTAAAGTATGACCATCAGCTTACCTCCCACAGTGCTTGAATGACCTCGGGTGATCCAACAAAAACGTCTATCAAAGGATCTGGATATGATTAGCATCGAAAAAAAAAATAATAAACAGAGGATGTATGAAATTTTTTAACTGAAAAAGGGGATTCCTTCAGTTTTCCTCGAAAGCTATAATACATTTAGGAGTAATCAACGTACTGATGGTGACGTTGACGTAGGCCTTTAGTAATAATTGTGGGACAGCACTGAGCTCGAACGACAGAACCGTTTACAGTGGACATTTTCAGCCAGCAAACGTAGCAAAGATAGCACAAATGGCGACCTACTGTTCTAAACTGAACAGAAATTTGCCTGACACTGACATGGTGGTTCTGCAGAAACCTGTTGTGGTTCCGAGCAGAGCACGGTTTGGATATTACCGGTACTGGTCTTGTAGCCTTGTATCTCAGTATTGGCTGAAAAACAAAAAAACTGACAAAGACCTCGCAGTTAAACTGTCCTCGCTTGTCAAGGATATGAGGCAGATGCTTGACGGAGATTTTTGTTTCACAGAAATCTGCTGCATTGTCTCCCCCTCTCACCTATAGCTTCCCTCCTGACACTTTGCTGCACGCCGTTATCACATTTGCTTTATCAAAATCACAGAGCTGTTCAATGTTAGAGAACTCCACTGGGAAAACAATAAATCATTCATCCATTAATTGTCATGGCCTTGGTGAATATAAAACACCTGCCCCAAGAAGGACATTATCTTCCAAACGTCATTAGCAACTTGCTTTGTACTAAACCTTGCAGGGAAAAAAAAGGTGCAACTCCATGTCAGACTGTGTAAAAACGTTGATTGGTTGCCAAATACCAGTTTCTGTACAAGACAAACATGAGATTTATTACGTGAGAGTTTTTTAGTTTTCACAGGTCTGTATAATTATTTACAACGATTAATTTGTCATCTTTTGTGATAATGGTGATCGAATCTCAGTGCAGTTAGCCGTTTACCAACCAAAAATTCAGTTGGAAACTTCAGGCTATGCGCACAGGATATTTTCATACCGACAACAGGTCTCCAACCAAAATACCATGCCACGTGTCCCTGCTCGAAGACGGCTCTCGCCTGAGTTTTGCTAAGCGAATATCCTCTGCTTAGAACTCAGAGCAAGGAACAGATGCTTAGAAGCTCCATTAGTTTCAGACATGTTGATGATACATGTACTTCGTAGAATAGACTACCTGGCACATTACCCCATAGACAATGCACTGGTGCCCTTTAAAAGAAATAGGCCTTGTGTCTTTGGGGACCCTGTTCCTACGATAGAATGGAGAATTACATTTTAAGTTTTGACGCCTGGGCAGATGGCGGTGACCTTAAGTCAAACAGCCGTATGGTAAATGTTGTGGAAAGAACTGAGTTTAAATTTTGATGGCAATTTTAAAGTATAAATTGTCAATGTTAACACAAATGACGCATGGAGGAATACTTTTCATGTGATCAGTCATAAGTCAGATTTTCTCACAGTTTACAATTCTAAATTCACGCACACAAACACACCCACATAAAAAAACTGCAGGGATACCATAATTATGGAAAACATTGCCTTTGGTTGCAATGCTTTGGGGACTCACCGGTTTTGTAAGAATACAACCCCCCTCCAAAAATTACTAAGTTAAAAAAGCCTTTTTAATTTTTTCTCGTAGATTCACTGTAGTACGACCACTGAAATTAATTGTTTTTAAACCCGTCTAAACTGCAGGACGCTTCTGAGGACTTTAAACACGCCAATCTTGAAACAATCACTCGTGTATTTCTTGAGTTTACTCCTGGTTTTTACCCCACGGAAATCCCTTCGGTGTTATCTTGTAGACGAACTCCCTTGCTAAGTCAGCGTAGGAGCTGAGCAGCCAGCCTAGATTCTCGCTAAGCTCCCCGCCGAAGAGCACCCACCGTGACACCAGACCACTGGCCGTCCGGGCGCGGCCCGGCAAGGCAGACGAAGGCTCGCCGTGCCCGGCGCTCGCCTCATCTTGTGCCGCAGAACTAGAGATGATGACCGCGGTGGTGACGAGGATGCACAAGAAATGGGACCCACCCGGCGGCTTAGCCATGGTCAGGGTTGACGCCACCCACGTCCCGACTAAACTGGCGACGTCCACGGATGCACAGCCAGCTGGCCGCGGACGAGATGAAATTCACCACCAAAGCCACCAAACCGAACGCCCCGAATGTTGCAAACTCGTTTGTGTGTTTGCATGCGTTTGTGTTGCGTTCACACGTTGTTTCCCGAACAACGCGCGCGTAAACAAACTGGCGTGAATCCACATACTTATCATGGGGACAGTAAAGGATTTTAAGTGACGTCACAACACAGCCTCTAAGCCCTTGTATGGACCTATGGAAGTGCCATCCTTAGTGTAGCAATCCTAATATTGGCATCACACGAAATGGCGACATTTTTAGAGTAAAACGTCAACATTTTAAGAATAAAATGAAATTAAGATGGGCAATTACCGGATACGTAAATGTAATTCGGACCCGAGTGCGACTCGTTTGTTGAAGGTTGCTATGGAGACAGTGATCAATTATTGGTTGCTCTTAAAACACTGTCGAAACCAACTTTGTACAGGACTTGTATTATTTATCTTGTGACTTTGCACCTCAAGTACCAAAATTTGCGATGGCGTGTAAAAATACCATGATTTAGGATAAAAAATTAATTCACAAGATCACAACATGACATCATTTCCAGAGGGGCAGGCGTGCATTCATCAGATGCCTAGCGCAGAAAATAGTGTACTGTAGCTAGCGTTGGTATAAAATCCCTGGCTTTCAATGTAGGTGTATCTCAACTTTGTGTTGATTAAGATCCGGGTTTTATGGTAGTCTTGTGTATTTGACACTGATACAGAAGTTTTTGAGGCATTTCCTGTTCAACGTGGACAGAGGCTCAGACTAATACACGGAAGGCCACTTGAGATGGAAACTCACGCAGGACGTGCATCTTTATTTTTGCATTATAATCGACGAAGACGAAGGAGCAGCCACACCCGTCGAAACAACACCAAAACCTACCGTTTGAGTTGGAAGACTAAAAATAAAGAGAGATCAATTGAAAACGAAATTTAGTTTTTGGCTGCGCCAACGGAAGGACACATCCAAGCGATATTTTGGTTCTTTTTATTCCCTGTTAGAAGCAAGGTAAATGAAATAGGCCGAGCAATCACCTTTCTATTACTGTTAAAAATCCACTCCTCTTTCTTGATTGGGGCCATGATCTTTTTCAACCCGGACCCTTCCTTGCGATCACACCATTAAAATCAAGAGTGGAGCGAGGGAGAAGATGAGCCTTAAGTGCAGTAGCAGGCTCAAATAATACGGGGGGGGGGTTCACAATAGTGCGCCTCCAAGAGTTTGCAACGCGTTGACCAATCACAGTGCGCGAAATCTGTCCACCCAGTGCGCCTTTGGAAAGGGTCGACAGATTTCGCGCCTTGTGATTGGCCAATGCGTTGCAAAGTCTTGGAGAGGCACTATTGCAAATCGCCAGTATTGCGAAATTTTCATCCTTAATTCAATCAAATGAAAAAAAATGGCTCCTGTTCTTGAAACTAAGGGACTGCGGTAATGTTTCAGTAGAATTGCCATTCCTATCCTCATCAAGTAGCTCTCGTCCACTGTTCCGTACTCAGTACCCAATTGGTGTCCGAGAGAATCGTGGAAATCGAAAATGAGCTGTCACTTTGCGGCAACACGGCAAAGTGACTAATGCACACGCGTGCAGAGTTAAGTGGATGACTGTGGAAATCAGGCGTCCTGTAGTTCGCCTTACCGCGGTGGGGATGTCGGCCGCGATAGTTGTCGCTCGTACAGTATTCATCATCTTCGACGCAATCACCACCCTCGCCGCTAACGTCATCAGCATTGTTATTACATGGAAGACCCTGGAGTTCGCCGAGATGACCAAGATTTTCGCCACCTCACTTGCCCTGGCTGACCTGTGCGTGGGCGTCCTGGTCTCGTTCTCCGTGGTGCCTTCTGCCGTGGGCCGGTGGCTGTACGGGGACGTCATGTGCCGGATCATCGGTGTGATGGGGACCTCTTTCGCTATGATATCAGTGCTGAGCCTGCTGTGCGTCAGCGCCGACCGGTACACGGCCGTCACCAGGCCTCTCCGGTACTACGGCCTGGTGACGCGCCGGCGGGCCGCAGTCGCCTTGGCGGTGGCTTGGCTGAGCACCATCGGAGCCAACACCTATTTGGCCGTCAAGAGCAACTTCATCATCTACGATGAGGTGTTGTGCATCTGCCTGCCCGAGTGGGGGAACCAAGAGATCCTGCCCTATCTAGTAACGGTCTGCGCGATCTGGATCGCGGTACCGTCCGTAGTGACTGTCTCGATCTACGTGCAGCTGTTCCGCATCAGTCGGCGGCACGCCCGTCAGATCGCCGCCCAGGCCGCCCCGGCCATCCAGGGTCCGCGCTCCGCTGACATGCGCGCCATTCGGACCATGTTTGTGGTCACCGGCGCCTTCAACCTGGCCTATATGCCGTTCCTTTTCTGCAACATCTACCTTAACATCAGCAACGACGATCTCCCCGGCGCGCTCAAGTTCACAAGCATGTGGCTTGCACTGTCCAACAGCTGGTGGAACTTCTTCATCTACCTGGCAACGTCGAAGAATTTCAGGAAGACGGCTTTTAAACTTCTCTGCCTCAAATGCCCTTGCGTGCTCACAGCCAGAAATCCGAATGGCGCCGCCCTTGGCCACGCTAATGCTATCGTCCATACGTAAATCAGTAACATTAGAAACTGCACTGAACGCGATATAAATGTTAAAATATACTTCATATTCTTGATCGCTCCGAGTGGCGACATGTTTTCATACAGTCGTACCGCCCGTGGCATTATGAATGATAGAAAACGAATGACAGACCGAACACAATTGCAGTAGGAGTAGGGCCTACTCTGAACTTAAACGATTTCAGTCGGCAGGAGTCCTTAAACCAGCCGAATTTGGCATCAACCTGGTTATATAAATTAACATCTCCCCAACGCAAAAATACATCTTGAAAATTATTGATGTTCGTAAACTTCAGTGGTTTGCATTCCTCCCACACGTTAAGCATGCCGGCCTTGGACCACTTACATTAACCTTGACAGCAGCGTCTTAATACACTTTACTTGGATGTAGTACGCTTGAAATAAATATTAAGTTTCAAAACACCGGTTATTGGTCCGGCTAGATTCCTTGATGTCCACACCAATTTTTACCTTCTCGAATTACAATTGACCTCTGTTTTGTTATGACCATTAGTGCTTGTTGTGTCTTATTATGTGTATTTTAGAATTATTGGTTTAATTTTAGGCGGGCGGAAGGACTTTGGTTGTTGTTGAAGGGACACCTGGCCTTGAGTCTCGATCACTTTTGCTGTTTCTCAGCCGCGTCCCGACGTTTTGGTTTGAAAACTGCGCACGGAATTAAAACCTGCATTGATTGTTATTGGCCCGCCACCCTACGGTGCTGGCATTGGGCTAATCCCTTTCGCCAAAGTTTTGTGAAAGACGTACAGGCGTTGCAATGCATTGTGGGTTACTTGCTGCTTTGAAGTGCACACGTAGCACACACTCATAATTATTTTGAAACATGGCAGACGCAAAAGGGGGCGCCATTTGGAGTAAGTTTGGAGTAAAACATAGAGATCATAAGTAGCGTTACCAAGAAGATCTCTATAGAGTAAACACAAAAGATTTGCTTAAACCCATTAGCGCTCTCCTATTGTGTCCGCCATACCTCAAATGGGCTAAGAGTTCATTTCACTTCGCATAACACATTCAACAACAGGCGTCAATTTTCTTGTGTGTAGTGTTTGCAGATCTTAAGGGAGTCTCCATTAATGAACGGGTAAACTTTCCTAAAAGCAGATAAAAAATATACCGGCAGAAATTCCCCAATAAACTGAAATTATAGTAAACTGTATAAGGTGCAAAGTAGGAAATAAATTGGATCAGCGTGAAGTTAATTTTATTTAAGGAGAGGATTGTCTTACCGCTGAAAATGCGTGAATTTAAAATCACCCCAAGAGCACAATGGTATGGTCCAAATACGGTGACCGTTTCCGAGCTGCCGGGTGAAAGGGTTTTAAACAAAAGTACAAGGCTGTTTCCACTCGTTAAACCTCCTGTGTTTCAAGACACAATTTCCTCTTTGCTTATAACTATTAGTTAGTTAACTTAAAATGGAGTTTTAAGATTTTCATTGACGTGTAAACTGACGTGAAAGTGATGCGGCCATTAAGCCCGATCGCACTCGCACATGCTTTATTATAATAGGCCTACTCGTTTCAGGGTCACAGACACAAGTCGACTGCGTTCCTGGATGATTTTTTTCATGAATGCGTAATGGTACATTGTCGAGGAGGTGCCTTATTCCAAGGTAAATTCACTAATAACTCCTGGCCGTTGAAATCTGCCCCTTTTTAAGGGAAGGAAAACCTGTCTTGGCTCTTTTCCACCCCGGATGTTGTTCGCTTACTACAAACGCCCTGTAATTCATAGATTTTACGCAAGATAAATTACAAATTTTTCATTTAATCGCTCAAAATGCTGCTCTGTTTTCTTTGATTTTTCCAAAAAGCAGTTGACTCACACATAAAACAAATCAGTGGAATGTAAGTTGCAGTGAATATTATATACTGTAATCAGCCGATCTCGTGAAATTACAACAAAAAAATCAATGGTATACACTACCAAGTAACTATACTGCTTATAATTGTATACCACCCATGATGCTTTTAGACTCCTCAGCTTCCTTCACAGAAAATTTGTGATAGACTTGCCCGAACAAACAAATAGGAGATGTCCAGCCAACCTGGACAGACCCGTGGGGTTTTACAGGTCTGTGCTTACTACGGCGCCTCACGAACCCCGTGGTGGAAATGTGCATCAGTGATGTCTTTGGCACCTTAATTGTGTGTTCCCGCAGAGAGCCCAAGGTTGTTGGGGGCACCTGCAGGTTTGGATTCACACGAAGGCTTTACAAATTATCATCTTTCTGTACTCAAACAAAACGGCAACGGTGCACCTGCCAGGCAGACGAAACTGATCAAAACTGTACAGGTATTTTTTCCACAGCGCGCGAAAGCTGCAGGTCGTACAGTTTGAAAGCATTAAATAGAAATGAAAACAGCTGCCTTTCATGATCCCTCAAAAAGACGGCTCAATATTTTTTAAAAGAAAATTTAGACGGATTAATCTATGGGTTCTGTGGCACACGAACCAGACGGCGCTGTTTCAGCCAATTAAAACAAGACTGCGACCCGGCGGACACAATAGGAGCACGCTTTTTGGTTTAGGTAAAATGGTGTTTACTCCAAGGGCAAGTACTAGGTACTTTTAAATAATGCGCATGCGCAATTCAGTTACACTCTAGTTGGCCTTTAAAAGAAATCTCATCGTTACTCACATTTCACCGTTGGCTGCGATTCTTGCAACGTAAGGTATATGGTCAATGAAACCTCTTACGATCGGATACGGGTGATTCCCTGCGTAATGATATTATTATCCATGTGCCCTGTGAACTGATCCCAAATGGTCGACTAGATAGTCCAAACCACGGATCGTTTGGATGGTGTTAGTCGAACTAAAGTTAGTCGTCGCTCGAACTTTTATAATTGCCCCTTTACTCACTGCTTTCCAAACAGCACCCTCCCAAATGACATGATGCACGTGTACGATGCATGCTGTCATAGTTGCCATACGAACGTCTGTACCCCGTATACCATGAAGCCGATTGAATAATTTCTTGAAACGATCACGCTTAGAAAGAGCTTAGAATTCAAAACAAAGATCTTATGGCAGTGGGAGAAGTGTACGTCTTCTTACGTCATATCCATGATAGTCTACCCATAGGCACTGGCACCTGTTGACCACTGTCTATTTAAGGCCGTAGAGGAGACGTACAGTTCGAAAGCAGTCTGAATTTACAGCCAATGAACGCACTCGTGCGCGAGCGTCGCCAAGTTCTATATCCACCCCACAATTCATCGTCATCTGTGACGAACCTTATTTGCATGGAGATCAAAATATGAATGATGAAACCCTGGCAACTGTGTGTATGCACTGTGCATACCCCCTCTACGGTCTAGACAGGGAGATAGAATCCAATGTGGGAACGAAATCTAGTTTTTTAAAAGGGCGTATTATGAAAACATTAAAAAACTTATCCCCTCCAGAGGGCGTGCTAACACTGTGCCGTGGATTTTTGTCGAACGGGTGCAACTTTGTGGATGGAAGGAACGGTAAGGCCTTCGACTAAAGTGAGTAGCTGAGCTGAATTCGTGAAGCTCGGGTTGCCCATCTTTTTTGTGCTGCCGTAGTGTGGGTAATAAGGGCCTCCTGACTGGCTTTTCTAACATTTGGACGCAACAATTGCCTTAGCTTAGTCACTGTTGTTTAGTTCAGCCATTTCAGCTGTAGGCCTATACGCCAAATGTCGGACATTTTAGATTTTCAGATTCAGAATCACTCAGTCTGTCCTCTCGTTCCTCCATGGTCTGACTGGACACGTAACATGCGTAACGTAAACAAGGCCAGGCCTGGCCTGGCCCTTTGTGTAGTCCTCCACCAGTATCGACAGAGGGGTCCTGTTTACGGGTCTAATAATGGCTGACATCAGTGTGGTCAAACCTGGAGTGGCATGACTTGTTCCGGACATGCCGGACTGGTAGCTGAGCCTAGCTGCAGTTTAATTTGTGCAGTTAATTAGCCCTGTCAATATTTAAGTTTTTTCTGGCCAATATGGCAATACTGTCAATAGCAATGCTTTAATTTTAAGCAATGTTTCAGCCAGCATGGCCGGGAGGTGAATGAAACACAAGTACCTGTACTTGGTAAGCCTAACATTCCTAAGCCTTTCTTCATCACCGCAGTTTGTGGTAATTAATTTTTCAATGATTTTCATCGAATCATTTTACGGCAATTAATTTCAAATCAGTGGTTGTTGTGTTAAATTTTGCCCTCACTCATTTATGCATATCCCTTATAGGAACAGGCTTAGGCTAGCTACCGGTAGGCCAGGCCAGGTCAGGGAGGAATTAAAATTGTAGGGGCTTATACTAGGCCTACAGTGTGTATGCAACTATCGGTGCATACTGTAGTCCCATTGGTGATAAAAATTCTAAGTTTACCGGATATGATAATCCACAACAGGTGTTTTTTAAAAATTTATCGAGGAACAATGTCCTTTGAGTTCGAGAAGTACATGCCTATTTTTTAAAATGTCTGTGATGTTCCTCTGCTGTAACACAGTTCCCGAAGAAGTACGTCGCAAGACATTGATAAAAAGAAGAAACATGAACACAGACATCTCTGAGCTGTTCAGCTCAGAAAGGTGAGGATGATAAGATTGCTTTTGGTTATATTTCCCCCCCCCCAGTGGTTAAAACCCATTTTGAAAGTTTCGCCCAAGTTTTTAAGTTTTTTGTACCAATTTGTAAACCTCTCCTTTTGGCAATTTGTCAAATTTGGTTCTAAATGTCCAGATGTGTTCATTGTCCATCGTTTTGTAATTTTCGAATGCACACACCAATTGTATATCTTGAATAATGTTCATATTCATGAAGTCATCAAAAGTCATTAAATTTTTGTCTTTTACGTCTTGTATCGGTATTTCATGATTGTGTTGCCTTTTCACGACACGTTTCAATATTTGATGTTAAGCCCGCAAATCTGCGAATCACGTCTTTGAAAATGGCCTGTGAAAGACATTAAAAGTCTTTGAATTTTTTTGGGGGGGTCTTGACACCATGAACCCTGTCTCGAGAAGATTGCTATTTACAGGAAGAAGGTGTATTTCAAGGGGATTATCCAGAATTGAAAGAGTACTGTCATGAAGTTACGTCAGCATAATGTATGTATGACATCTGGGCCCAATTTCATGGCGCTGCTTACCACAGAATTCCGCGCTTACAATCTCCATTCTGCGCTAACCACACTAGCAGAAAAATTCTGCGCTAACCCTTTAAGCACAGAATCCTTAATTGCGGGATGTACGCAGGCGCATAAGCCCAAATTCCTCGCTATCCTGCGAAATATGTTTGCCGTAAGCACAGAATTTTCTGCTGCGGTAAGCACCGATTTTTCGCTTGCGGTAAGCAGCGCCGTGAAATTGGGCCCTGCGCTCTCACACTCTGTGTTAGTTTCTGTCTACCGGTACCATTTCTAGGCTGACAGGGGGCAGTCTCGCTGGGGTTCTGCTTCTGGTCTACATGCCCCTGGGGTTGATCCTGACAGTACTACGTATCTTCCTGGGTTTCCATGTCTTCATTGTATCCTGTCTGCTTCCAAGAGCCTCGCTGATAAGGAGGTATGTATTGTGCATCCAGTCGTTGAGACCATCTCTTCGGAAGAATGAAAATGTTGACTTTCTCTGGGATGATGGCGATTCAGATCATTGGGGAATGCATTCAGCAACTCGCTGAACACAGAAATGCACAATGACCTCCAAAAGGGGGTGGAGAATATAGAATTGTTCCAAAATAGTAAAACTTTTGTGTGACTGTTACGGGCTTTACAACATTGCATGTCTCTAGTCTGTGGACATGTCATGGTTAGGTCAGCTGTTTATTCAAAATAGAAGTGAGTCAATTCGAATAATTCACAGTTCGAATATTAGACCTTCAATTTGATCAAATATCTAAATCAGTTCAGTCGTACCGACCGGCAGAGTGTTGATGAACAAACTATATACAAAATCAGTTGCAAAAGCACACACGATTGTTCATAATCACTATAATAGCTTCTCACGTCTAGGAGTATCTCCAGCCACGATTTTGCAAAATTTAAGAGATGAACAATACTCCCTGCCCTGTTTCTATTCTATTCTAAATTTCTATTCCTTTTAAATTTGTTAAATGAGTAATTTACTTTTTGAATCATTGTAAGATTTGTCGCTTTTCATTTGAATCTCCTAGAAAAAAGCCTCCACATAGGAAATTTTTATCATTGCAAACAAAAGAAAATTCTCCCTTTCTTTTTCATGAAATTTGCATTTGAATATTCTAATTTGGAAAATAATATTTAAATCTTTGATAGCTGATCGGATATTCGGCACAGCCCTAGTTCAAAGGGCTGTGCTGAATATCCGATCAATTATCAAAGATTAAAATTTTTTAAATAGTTCCAAATTAAGTTATCAGAAACCTCAGAGATGGTGTTTTATTTACATGTACACTACATGAATACCATATTCAGGTACAGTCCACTTGCTGGCAAGACCATATTCAAGAATGCTGTACTTATAACTTTTTATACCATTACAAACCACTCCTCTAAGGTTACACTGAAGCATTTCCCTCTCTTTTTGACACAAAGAGCACGTGGCAAAGATTTCAGTAACCACTTTGCACCCAGTGTGTGTCCCAAAGTTTGACAGGGTGAGATGTTGTGATTTTTTTTAAGCGTTCATATTTTTTTTTGTAATTATAAGAAATGGTGGCCATTTCTGGCCACTGTAGAACAGCAGCTCTGCCTCCAGCCAGCACCCCCCCAAAAAAGATGGACAAACACAAAGTTTACATGCTCATTTATCCCTTGACGCTTGGACTTTTTTCTGAAAGCTGACTCCAAGAATTCCAGCCTCGCTTGGCCACGAAGGCCACCTGCCAAACCGCAAATTCTCTGTTTGAGGCCCTGCGTGCTCTGTACGCTTTGATTCACACGGTGAAAAAGCTCTTCTCACCCTTCCACATTCCCGTTGCCTCTTTTCAAAGTGGGGACTATTGTGAAGCTGGTGATTATGATGCAAATTCAGCCTTTTCATTTTTTGGCAACACACAAAGGCCAATCACCATATATACAAGAGCCAGGGCATGCCTTCTTTCACCGTGTTCGCTCGAGCGTGAGCCGCGAAAAATAGCTGAAAAACGGGCTGAGGGATCTCAATTTTTACGGCGCTCTTACCGCTTCCCGGTGAGGAGGGGTTAATGCTCGTCCCTTTTTTTAGTACATGGAACGGTAGAGTGCTTTCCAAAGTGTTTACTGCAAGCCTCACTCTGTGGTCATACTGTTTGTGTGTTATATATTTACATTCGTTTTAAAAATAATTGAATTAGCCTCTGCAGGCTAATGTCAAAAAGCTTTGAACAGACTGAAACTCATAAAAACAACAGATTTGCAATTCTTCACAAAGCCAATATGGCCACCGAGAATATTTTCACGTATAGTTTATGCGTAGAAAAAGTCACAATAGAAGAATCTCTACATATGTACATGTATGTCATTGTGCGATGTCATTGTGCATTAACATGGACACTTAAAGTAGGTAATGTGAAGAGTGAATAACCGAGCAGCGCTACCCAGCCGCAAGGAACACCTGTACTTTGCCATTTCAGGAGGTGATTAAAAACTTCCAAAAAGTTTTTTGGGGGGAGAAAAATGGAACCTCCCCCCAAAAGTACGGTGTGCACACCTCATTTGATTGGAGTGCCTGTCATATCAATTTTCACGGATTTTCATGCTACACTTTATTAGGGAATCGGAGTGAGTCCACACCTGAAAAGTGCCCCATTGGATACCCTCCCCATCAATAGGGGGCCTGCCAGAGGGGATGTACCTGCCATTCAGATGTGACCAGAGGCAGCTTTTAAACCACCAAGCCCCTTCGTTTGTCTGGGCGCAGTTTTCGTCTACCTTTACGTCATTGTCATTATCTTTGGTCGTGAAGGGCATGTTTCTGTGTTCCCACAGTGCGTCCCCGGCATCCCCGTGGTAGGCTCCGAAGTCGAGAACGTACTTGTTGCCTGAGACTTTGAACCTACTGTAGGCAGCCCTACGATTCTGCCCCTCAACGTCCTCCAAGTCGACTTGCAGTGTCCACTTCCCGGTGGTTTCGGTCAGGCTGCGGAGGTAGTCGTTGCCCAGCCAGAACTCGCCGGTCAGGTTGCCAAAGCCCCTGCGGTATTGATCCCAGTCACGGTAGAAGTCCTCCGTGCCATCCTGACGTCGCTGAAAGACGATCCACCCTCCGCCGTTGTCACTTTGATCGCAGTAGACCTGCAGGCTGCCATCAAGGGTGTCAGGATAGATGGTGTAGACACCGCTCCGATTGTAACCGTCTTCCAGGAGTTGTTTGCAGCTTTGGTTGCGAGGGACACTGTTCAGCTGGCACAAGCCCCCGCAGCCCACATAGTTGAACGAGGCGCAGGTCGGGTCAGCCGAGCAGTGCTGGGCACAGTCGAGATATGAATTCATAACTGCCACTCTCATGCGGCCTCTCATGCGGCGGTTGACATGGTCATGCGTCGCGTCCAGAAGTGCAGGACTGGTGTCTGGCTTCACGTGCAAAACTAGCCATGTTGAGATGAGGACAACAAGGAGGAATCGACTTGTGCCAACAGACAAGAGTGCGTGCTGGTGCTGCATGATTGACATGTTGACAACTGGACTCTTGACACTCTCAGCTTGTCAGTACTCGCAAATACATGTACCTCTGCTGTTGATTATGTGGTGTCGTAAGCATCAATTCGTCCTAGCAGTTTCCTCCGAGAGCAAGCAGAGACTGTGGTTCAACAAATGCCGTGCTGAGGCACTGAGATCCACCACTAATTGGCCAGAAATCAGAAATCTGTAAATGCAGAAGGCCTTCACCGTGTTGGGTGATTAAACGAGGCACAGCACGCTCCATATCTCTGAAGGCCATGAGGCAATGAGACTTGATGAAATGCATCTCCTCGGCAGGTTCTGTCTGTGGTCACAGTCAATATTGAGTCCTTTCCTTCATCAATTTTTTTTTTCTTACATGGAATTGGAGTGCATCAGAATGGGAAAAAGTCCACACCCGCCAACGAAACTTTATGAACATTACCCGGCTTTGTTTATTGTCGCAACCGTACGCAATAAGAGACAATTATCAGGTTTTGTTGGATGCGCCGCTGGATTGAATAAGAAAGTTTAGTCGTAACAACTTTTTTCCCCCTTTTGTTTGTTTTTTGGCCGTGTTTGATTTGATGAAACCTCCAAATGCATTTCTCCCTACCGACTCCAGGAAACATGCAGTGGATATTCAGCTCATTTTGTTTTTTGCGCATTAATGTGTGTTTCTTGTACAACAACGCCAACAAGATCTAGATACTTGTTTTCATTGGAAATGAAAAGAAGTTGGTAGCTTTCACTTCCTAGAAAATACTGTCATCAACGTATGCACGAGGGCGCTCTTTTGATGTTATCATACCTATACCGGTAAAAGACACTCCTTGTCAAAGGAACGTAAGAACAGTACAAAACCAATCCTTCAAAAGCACTCACCAACACTCTTTTGTAGCAATATTGGCCACTGCTTTTGTTCAAACAAGCTTTTTAATGCGAAAACCAAGTATGAAGTGGAACCTGCCTCAAGAAAAGGGTGGTACATTATATTGCACACAAAGCTATGGAATCACTCCTGTTCTGCCTTGAATGACATTGTGCTTTGGCTTATGAACGTGGAAATTGTCATTAGCATAAATCTAAACTGTTGACCCTGCACCCTTTAATTACTGATGTGCTTCATGTACATGTATTGAAGTCATAAAGAATCCCATTATATGTAAATGTACACGGTTCCTCAAAACAAGAAAGTTATAGCTTCATCACCAGGGTAAAATGATGACTTTTAGTGCAAAAGCCAGCCCGGTACCTGTCCCAGTCGCGATAGACGTCCTCCATGCCGTCTTGAAAGACACTCCACCCTTGCATCATCAGTCTGAGTGCAGTAGGCTTGTTGGCCACCACTCAGGCTGTCTGGGTACAGCATACGTTGGAGATAGTGCTCTGATAGTTACCAGCTACGGTACATGTAGTTGGCAAGGAGAGAGTTGGAGATAGAGGAGGACCGGTAACCAGTATTGTTGGCCGTTGTTGGGCTGTAACCAGCATTGGTAACCGTTGATGGACTTTAACTGGAATCATAGTAGGCACCTCCAGCCTGGTTGATGACTTCGTCAAGGTCAGAGTCGTGGTGAGTAGCATTGTGCAGTTGGCACAAGCCCTCACCTTGGAGATAGTTGAATGACACACAGGCTTGGTGGGCCAGGCAGTGTGCGGCACATCTGAGAGAGGAACTTGCAGTTTTCTCTGTGAACACATGCCCTCTCAAGGCATAACTTCCAACATGGTACTTCGAGTCTCGAGTGCGGCATGCGTCCAGCCTCACACGTGCTATCAGGGATGCCACAAACAGCAGAACTGGAAGTAATCGGCTCGTGCCCGTGTACGAAGGCACGAGGAAGAGTCGCATTCTTGCCATGTTGAAAGGCAGACTCTCCATGCCCTAATCTTATCTCCAGTGGTATTGGTAAATATGACTGTTTTGAATTGTTGCAATTGTTGAGTACTGTTCCAGTTTTATAAGGCAGTGGTGGACAATGGATGGTTGTAGAGGTGCTGGTCAATAATTGACCAGCTGAGGGTGAAGCGCGACTATGGACGAGGCCTGATGGCATTTGTCGTTGGACAACAAAGGGACAAAGAATGGCCAGAAGATGGCCTGCCTCACAGAATGTTGGCTGGTACAGCATCTGATGAAGATAACGAGACTTTTAATAAACCCTAAAGGCAAGGTGAAAGAAGGTCCCACTAATTGAAAACTACGGTCAAAGTTCCCCGGGGGTGGGCGGGGAAGGTTGAATGCCAGGGAATCAATAAGCAGGTGAAACGAAAAGAAAATAATAAAGAGGCCAATTAGACTATTGATCATGCGTAGTACAATCACTTAATAATGGCAGTACTGTTTTGGGCCGAAAATTTCGACTTGAGAAAAAAGGCAAGATGTAGCAGCTAAACTGGGATATATACTACTAAAAAAAAGTTAAGGACCACTTTTTTCTTAACTTGTAATTTTTTTCCAAACAATGAGTGGGGTCTAGTTCTTTCATTCTTTGTTTGTCTAGATCGTGTTCTCATTGGAATAAAAACTTAAAATAGTTTTTCAAAACGTCAAATGCACATTTTCAGCAATAAAATATCTTGTATACAAAAAGTATGGACACAATAAAAAGTGGTCCTTAACTTTTTTTGAGTCATGTACATGTTCAGAAAAACACCACAAATGTACTGATTTGCAGTGACCACTTGCGGAGTATTTTTACAATATATCAATACCGTAGCCTCTTATTTCTCAACAATTTTGGGTGCACCCAGACGCGCGTGTTCAGGGCGCCCATGGTAATGACACCTTTTGGGCAGAGTTATCCATCTTCTTCAAAGATCCATACAATCTTTGGTTTTCACTTCACACTCATGCCATTGAAAATTGAAACACTGTCTTATAAAGATGGACATTTCCTTGTTTCTTTTCAAAGCCCAAGTTGCATGCCTGATGTACTTATCCATCGCAAATTGGAGTACTTTAATTAAGGGACATTCAGTTGAAATTTTAGCACAGGTACTGGTAGGTGATTCTCATTCGGATGAGAGCAATTTGAAAACTCTACTCAGGTGCACAGATTTTTTTCAGTACATGAGAAACAAAGGAAATATTCCACAAGGATATAAATGCATGTAGGTAAGCGTGGGTGGGAGTAGACAGGACCTCATGACGCTATGGGGCAGTTTTTATTCTTAGGCAAATTACCTGTAGGGCTGAGCGGCTCCCCACTTTTTTGACTCAACATGCTCACTCCAGATGGTATCACAACTAGTCTGTTCCCGGCCCCCTGCACTTTGAAAATCGTTTGGCAGCCGTTGGTGATTTATCATCTTTCTGGTGGCACTGCCGAGCATCTTGGCGCTCGCGGTGAGCAGCGTTGATCGCCACACATATTTTTTATCTTGAAACAGCATAGGTAGCCTTGCGGCCAAATGATGAAAAAAGGTTAGTGGCTACAATGCAGAAATAAGTCAGTGAGTTGAGCAGTGGCAATATAACCAGTCAACCGCTGAATTGACAGCAAGCGAAGCGTAAAGAAGGTGATATCTTGTATTGATCACAGGGCTACTTGAGCAACCTTCTGTGCTAAAATTAAGTGGTGCAATGGAATGGGTGCATGGTGCAGAACAAATGCCATAGAATTGCAGCCAATTTGGCTTCTTGTCCGTCACAGGTTGAATCACAACTCTTGCCATTGGTCGTGGGGGGGGGAGGAGAACAATAACAAAAGGGGCGTCTCTGTCGGAGTTTATTTGAGTAGCTTTTGACATACATCTACATGGACCAGTACATGTACCCGTTACGTAGGTATGATGCAATTGGTAGGGGCTTTCTTTTTGGCCGGTTCATGCTTCGCGTGAAAGCAAAACCTGCAAATTTACGTGCTATTTGTGACGTTCAAATCAAATATTTGCGTTACGAATTTGCCAAATTTGAACACACTTCAATGCGAGCAAAATTTAGATGCAGATTTATTGTGACGTCAAATTTGCTTCTCTGGCATATTCGCCCGAAGTATTCGCCGTCAGTCTGTATTGATACCACAGACCTTTTGCCCACAAATTTTTTGGGGTCACGAGGCTTGTCTGACTGATTCTGGAATTAAAAAAAAAAAAAAATTAAAGTTTGTTTTCCTGGGAAATTATTTACTGGTTTGATGTCTTTTTAAAGCTTGGCTGCCAGAATATTTTACCTTGTTTGCAGTGCTGGTAAAATGTTGACCGTGCCTATAAACATCGAGTTACGGAGTACAGCGGGATTGAAGTGCTAGTGCGCGACTTTGAAATTAGTCTTGTAAATTTTCTCTTGGAAATATCTATGTAAACTTGTGGGGGAAAAAGGAGACTTACCGTAATTTTGCCACAGTTGCTTATTGATACACCCGCCACAAAATGAACCACCCTAGGTTTTCAAACCTTTATGCGTGCAGCACTTGTTCACTCAGAAATCAAAACGAAGAGAAAAAGTACGATTCCAGTGCCTGTTTCTGTACATATATTTTTCAAGTCCTCCCCCCCAAGAGTCCTGCTGTTATGAGCCGTGCGGATGGTGCTCAATAACTGTTCACTATGGGCACTGGGGAAAAAAATCAATCCTCAACTGATGAGGAAAAATTAGCAGCCATTATCAGAAACACATCTACAGTTATGAAAACGTGCAGTCGAAAAGTATTGGCAGAAATTGGCGGTGGTGATGGGGAGGGGGGAACTTGCCTCCATTTGCTATTTTGCAATGTACACAACCTACATGTATGCGTAGGCCGCAGTTTATCGGCTTTCGTATGGGTGTCACAAAGGCTGACAGCATGCAGGATGCCATGATGTAGACAGTCACAGACGAGATGGTGGCAGGCGTCATTCCACAAAATTGTACGAAGTTGTACCCGAAAGTCTGAAACTTTACGTGTGAAATTATTATTATCATTATTATTTCCACTTTCTTGCAACCCGCAGGTTGAATTGTGAAGTGGTTACATCCAACGTACTGGGTACAAATCAAAAAGAAAATCAGTATTAGAATTTGCAAAGGCTAAAAAGACATCACATAAAAAATTGCAATTCCATTCCACAGAGAAACTAAAAACCTATAAAATGCCCATCGTTATAAACATAAGTAAAACCAACATTGATAAAACAAGTAATACATTTTACATACGCGACATAGAATAAATTAATGGTGATCGACAAGACATTAATATTGCGCCCTCTCCCTCATACATGCAAACTGGATTGTTATATAAGAAAAACCCCAGTCGGTCTTTGAGTATGTTGTTCAACAATCTAGTAAGGTTCGGAATCAATAGGAGTGTGAAATCACTCAGAAATTATTGATTGAAGCCTAGCCTGCTATGAAACTGGTGCATCACTTTGCTATGTTTCACTTGTGAGGAGCTGTATTATGGACAACTACGTTTTCATTTTTTGGTCACAAGGAGAAAACGGGCACAATACGTAGGACACATGTACTCAAGCAAGAGGCACGTTCATCGTGGGTCCATCACGCCAGAGTGTGTGGTGGCACGGGCCTGGCTGTTGACTTGATGTAGACAGTTGGCAAAGTTGAGCATGATCTAAATTTCGCCGACAGTTTTCATCTTGGTTTCTGTTGGGATGAAAAGTATTGTCGGGGCCGTTCAGGGATGCTATGTGCAACTCTTTACATCGATGCGGAAACTAAGCTTAACAGTTTCTTTAAACCTCCTGGTATTGTTTGTCCTACAGGGTCATTCTGCGAGTGATGTGCCTACTTCTGGGCCTTGTCGTCTCCCACGAAGGTCTCGAGCAGAGGGACAAGGCAGCCAAGGTCATCGTGGCCAATCACGTCTCGGTGTTTGATCACGTGACGATAGGACTGGTCGTTCCATCCATTGTTGTGAGTCGGACTTTTTGGGTGCATTAACCTGTAGTGACAAAATGGCAGTTTAGAAAATCTGACATTTGCTTGGTGTTTCATCACATATACAGTGTTTTCCCCACAGCCATGGAAACACTTCTGTCGGATATGCCTTCACCACTTTATGGGGCAAATTTTTCTCTTGTTAGGCAAATTAGGACTGACCGAGTCATTGGGACTCGCTGCTGTCCTTGCAGTGTTTTGGTCCACACAAAAATCATTGCAATGACGAGGGTATGTTCCCGGAACTACTGAGCTTTGCCACCTTTTTTCCCCTCTCTTTGTAGCCCAACGTGTGGAGCTTACCAGCCTTCATGACCTGGGCACTGGGCTACACAGAGATGGGAGCCAGGGAGGGCCGACGGACACTCCTGCTGAACCTCAAGGCTCACTGTGCCCGCAACACCCTACCGATCACCTCACTACCGGAAGGCGCCATGACCAATGGAAAGACCGGTCTGCTGAAATTTAGGTACGGTACTCTCGTTAGTACCCGGATGACCCCCCCCCCCGATGATGATTGATTTCTTGTGTGTAGAAATGAACGAACCAATCAGAGCTAGGGTGAGTACGTTATGGTACCGCCCTCTTTCTAAACTCACTGCACACAGCACAACTGCCAGGCAGATGAGATTGGACGAATCAGTGGCCAGTCTGCTGCTTTTGCACATGACATTAAGTGTGAGGTGTTATCGGGGCGGTCTAGGTATAAACCAACACCCCTTGTACATATCTTGTAGCGTAGAGCTTTCTTTGAAGAAACATCACTCACATTTGACTAGCCCAGCCTTCTTAAAATTGTGGACTGAACAAGATAAAAAGGAAAAAAATGTCAAATGCGGAGAAAGAATCTGATTTAAGTTTCATTCAAGAAAGAAAATTGGTCGTATTGGATTGGAACTGTATATTTCCCATTGTTCCAGTTCTTATGGATATTGTCAGGAGACTTGAACAAGCTCAGCAGTGAAGTGCTAAGGCATCTACACTTGTAAAAAGGTTGTTGTGGGTTCAAATCTCACTGAAGTTGGCTTTCAGAAGTTAATTCTCACAAACCCTTTGGAAGATACTCAGAGTGTCTTCCAAAGAGTTTGTGAGAATTAAGTATCTTCCAAAGGGTTTGTGAGAATTAAGTTCTGAAAGCTCCGCAAACAGTGCCAATAACGTGATGCCTGGGAATAGAAAATGAAATTCAAGAAAAATATACCTCACAATTTAAAACTTCCTCCCGAACTAATTTTGCTGAATTCTTTCAGTACTTGGCCGTTCGATCTTGGCGAGGCGGTCCAGCCTGTCGTCCTGAAGGTCCGGCGACCCCTCCTCGGTGTCAACGTGGAGACCATCGGCAGCAGCCTGTGGAAGGACATCTTCTGGTTCTTGTTTGTCCCCTTCACGCACTTCCACGTCAGGTTGGTCATTGACTCCGGGCACCCTGCTGGTGGTCAGCGTGCAGAATTCATGCCAGGGGCTTTTAGCCCTCCGATGCCCCTAGCTTGCTTGCTTGTCCCACCACCCTTACCTCACCTTTTTACAATTCACCCCTGGCCTTCAGCCATCTGGTGTCACCTCTCTCCCTTGACCCCAGCCTCTGACCCTTACTCTTCCTCGCCCCCGTGCCTTCAACTGTTGACCCAAATCTGTTGCCCCGGTCCCTTATCTACAGCCCCAAACCCCTTTCCTTAGCCAACTGGATACAGTGATATCAACAAGTGATTGAGAAGTTGGACTTAGTTCCTGAAACCGAATATTTATGCCTTTTTTTCTTGTCCAGGCTACTGCCCTCACAACGACAAGAGGAATCGGAGACTGTTGAGAATTACTCCAGACGCGTCCAGGGCATAATGGCCCAGGAGCTCGACACCAAGGTCACCCCGTTCACGAGTGCGGACAAGGCAGAGTACATCAAGCGGTCCTTCATCTACCAACCTGAAGGTTGGGCTCATTTGTCCGTTGTCACGACTGATCAAGGACACAGATTTATGGAAGATTCAAACAGAGACATATTAAGTTCTTGGGCATTACCATGAAGTGTTTTTCTAACCCAATGTTGTCCAGCCTCGACACCTCAAGTGGCCGCTCAACAGACCACCCCATCCCCGGTCCCCGCCACCCCCCAACCCCAGGCAGCTCTGCCCACCCCCACCGAGCCGCGAACCCCAGCGGGCGGGGCTACAGCCCACAGTGACGACAACGAGAGACAGCTGAGGCAGATGGTGCAACAGGTGAAGGAAGTCCTGCCATACGTCTCAGAGGCAGCTGTCAGGAGAGACTTGGGTACGCTGATACGTTAGGGTGCCAAGGGGGTGAAATCTTAGGGGGTGTGGCTCAGTAATTGGGCTCGGTGACTCGTAATCAGAGGGCCAGGGGTTCTGATCCAGCTGCCAGCCGTGCGTTGCACTGATGACAGGCGGCGTGTTAGCGCAGGGCAGCGCGGTTGACCAGCACAGATGTTTCAGTCAGTTCACAGACACATACAGGCGCACGTCCGGGTGCCAATTTCATAGAGCTGCTTCAGCACAAAATTTGCTTGAGCGTGAAAAAACCTTGCTTGACAATCAGGTTACCAGCCAAAACTCCATGTGATGTGTATTGTTTTGGAATGGTGTTCACCTGTCGTTTGGTTAACATGACAATCACATAGATTTTGAGCTGGTAACCTTTGTTTTTTTAAGCAAGGTTTTTGCACTTAAGCAACTTTTGTGCTTAAGCAGCTCTTTGAAAGTGGCCCCTGGTTGTGGGTTTCTGGGACAGGGAGTGGGTAAAGTGGGGATTCTCTTCCTCAAAACGATCATTTAAGGACTTTCATCTCTTCCTTTGCTGCAGAGAAAACAAATTGCATCGACACCACCATTACAAATATCCTGGAAGGAAAGATCCCCTCAGAGCTGCCCGAAGCCCCAGATAGGACGGAGCAGGAGGGTGTGGGAGGAGCATCCGCCTCTCCACCCTCGACCCCATCACCTAGTGTGAGTCTCCGTCATAATGCCCACTTTCAAATCGGTTTCAACTCCACACTCCAGATCTACACTCATTAGTCTTCCCTCAAGCCTCCGACGCGGCATGCATGGAAAACAGTCTCAACTGTGAGGGGCGCTCATCAACCGACCCACAACTTGGTCGATTTGGCCCTTCGCTTTTGTCAAATATTCATTTGTTTGTGCGCTCGCCAATGTTTGTAATCTTCAGGATCCCTCATTGAAGTGACTGCGCGAAAGCATAGGAAATAATGCTTCCCTCCATTTTGTGGAAGACCTTGATGGGTGGGTGAGTTTTTTCAAGCTTTTCCCCCCAGGTTTCTGGAGTGAGCGTGTAATTCCTACATGTGTTGAACCGTCCATTTTCTCTTCTTTTCTGTTTCGCAGTCGCTGAAGTTTGCTGCTGCCTCCTTTGGGAAATCCTCCAATGCCCGCCAGCTCTCTTACAAGGAAAGAAAAGAGGCCCTTTTTCAAAAGGCCCGAAGGTACGAGTCTCCTTCTGGAAGGGGAAAAGAGGTGGAAAAAATAAAATAGGGGGGAAGGAGGAGAACGCATGCCCAATGGATCATTACGTTTGAAACCCATGCTGATTGGTATTGATGTAATTAAAAGTAACCATTTCTGTTTTGCCAACTTGTGTTATTTTGTGTATGAAATATTTCCGGAGGATTTTTTAGCTGTTTTTGTACTTTTTTTCTGACAGGCACTACATGGAGAAGCATGGGATTACTTTGGACTGACAAGGCCACTGACTGTGCCGAAACTAACAGTCGCATAACAATTACAAGACATTTTTTACTCCTTCTGACGATGCACTGACATCCTCAACACTAGTGCTTGAAAAGAGGCCATAGTTTGCTGGGTGCTTTTGTCATTTCTCAGTTTTTTGGTCCATTTTCACAGTAACTCCTCCTGAGGAGCAGCAGTTTTGTTGGAAAACCATAAATTGACCGAGGAAACGAAAAGAGAGTTTGAGCTGAAAATAAAAAATCAGTCATTTGCTTCAGTATTTACGCAACATTACGCAGGACGGCGAAGGTACTTGCTTCGAATACAAAAACAATTGGCCTCTGTAATCAGTGGTGTATGCTATGGAGTTGATTTGGACTTGACGTGAAAATGTGGGCAGGGCTTAAGAGAGCCGTAGGTGGGAGGAAAAGAAATGTAGAGTGAAAGGAAGGAAGGGGCGTGTTCATGTCTATTCAAGAACAGGAAGTTGAAATACATGTGAGGGGAAACATTAAACTAATATATGAGTAGCATCTCAGTTTACTGATTTGAGCCATCATCGCATTCATTTGCTTCCTTTCTTTGTACGCACCCCTGGTGTCGTCATTGGTCAAGGCGTGCATGGCACATCATGTGGTAATAAATTATCTCCGACAAGGCCGGGAGATCGTACATTTATTACATTTGCCAAATGAAACTAAATGGTCGAAAGCAACAGATATCCAAGCACGTATTTCTTGCCTTTGACTTGCCCCAACATTCAACTGCTCTTCTGAATGATCAGTGGTTTCAACTTCCCTTCGCAACCTTCGATTTAAGCTGTGTTTTCACTTTGTATTGTGGGAAAACTTCCCGAAGTGTACACTTGCCGGATGAGTCGGTTACTCGGGCCAGGCCTGGGTGAACGCGAGATGTCAGGCGAGTGTGCAATTGAATGCAGTAGGGCTGAAACGAGAAAGCGCGAGGAAGCAATGGAAAAATTGAATTAAAACGCACATCAAGCATATTGAGCAAGAAAACTCACGGACTACTCCAAGATGCAGTACTGTGATGGTTACACACGCGTCGCACACATATTTCGACTTCAGGTGTGCTTGTATTTTGGCAAGTCAAAACAGCCCATTGGTCGAAGAGGCATTAGATATACACGCGCGACCTACACCAACACCAACGGCCTTCTAATCGCTGGATTAGTTTCCTCATTCACAGTACGACCAGATTATTTTCAAGCTGTAAAGGCACGGGGAAAAAACAAGCGAGTAAATCGTACCTGTAGATACGCAGCCCCCCAAGAAAAAAAAGCAGCTCACAAAAAACGTACATTCTGTAATAATCAACATGGAGTGGAGCTCCTCGCCATAGCCTTCAGTTCCATTTACGTAAATTGAAATGGAATTTAACAATTTGCCTCCATGAAAAGGTAACACTGAACAAAATGGTTTACACAGATTTCTTTGATGTTATTAAATAAAACAGTGGAGTACAAAATGTGATTTTGTACCAAACTAATTTGTGCCGACTCTTTTGTCTCTGAAGTCTGTTTTGCAAACACCTGCATTTATGCATGAAACTGAAGAAAACTTCACTGCTATTGTGCATTTTTCCGGTCGGCCTTGAACAAGTGTCCATCGTTGATTGGGTCACGGGGCTTCCTTTTTGTTTTATTGACATTTTTTCCCATTCAAGCTTGGCAGAGATGAAGTCGGAGAAAAGACAAATTGTCCTCTGCCGTGCAGTTCAATAGGAAGGGGTGAGATTTCCTGAAGGTCTTGAAAGAATTGAGTTCTTCCAAAACTCTACTCAAAATACTCCTGTGAGTCGTCTGGAATTCACTATCGCTAGTTTTCTCGCACAGTTTTTTACCTGGGTAGATCACTATGGGCTCCATCTGTTACCTTTTACCTGCTGATGACATTTGTTGGGCTGAAACACCTGATATAATTTTTAATGTGATTGTTGCATGGAGCACATGCAAGAAATTTTGGAAAAGGCCTGTGCGTGCACTAAGTTGGAAGCAGTGACGGAGTTTGATGGCCTGGCCTTTCCATTTGTCACCCACGAGGGGGCACTTGTGCACGCAATCCACACAGGAATAACAGATGGCAGTGTGGCCTAAGGTCACTTGTGCTTTGTTTTTTTTCAACAGTTCCTTGTTGTCAACTGGCCTGCTGCTCTTTCAGAAACAAGTTCCGGATGAAGGCGTAAAAGTCACTGCACCGCTCTGCGTTGTCGGGATGATCTACTGCTGCGGCGACCAGTGGCGGTGGCCAGATCTCACGGGTGCGGATCTTCTGCAGCACCGTCTGCCGTACGTCGTTGAGCTTTGACCCCAGGTTCCTTAGCTCGGCCTTGGAGAGTGATCCTCCCTCTACACACAAGCGCCACAGAAATCGGGGTGTCAGTAGTGGGGTAGATGAGTCGGGTTGAAAACATGCTCTTTTTAGAAATGCCTAGGAGGAGCTAGGTTCGTGTTGGGAGGAAGATTTTTCCTCGCCTTCCACCTCTGCAGTCAGAGTTCGAATGCCAGCCAGGCTGATTGGGTCGTCAGTCCGTACCCGACTCTTGTGGGTTTCACCCAGAACATTCTTCTGGGCTTTTCCTCCCACTTCTCAACCTGTAATTTCTTCTCAGTGTCTCCTTTCTTCAGGTTCTGTCTTTTAGGCTTTTGAGGTACAGTGACAGTTATGAAAAACAAATAAAATGGACATAATTGAGGATATTTATTGATCTGAAAGGAAAAAACAAACTGTTCAAAAATGTATTAGCTCTATGACTTCATTCCAATTGGACATGAAGCAAGCAACCAGTCATAGGACTGGTTTATTTCAGATCCATACCTTTGGCAGCTGTTACCGCTTCGGCCACGCATCTCCGGAGCGACTGATCCGCCTGGTGGATGGCACTTGCAGCACACACTACACGACTCGCCTCCTGAAATGAGAACAAGTGAGAGGTTAAAGCTTCCTGGTTGTAAGTCGGATGGCATGGTGTACGTCGGCTTTCTGATTACATGTCTTTTCAATATTGCAGGTGCTGGACTTTCTCTGAAACGTGAAGAAACTTTTTTCCCTCTCACAGCATTCATTACAAACACACACCGAACAAACTGTTTGATAACTTTGAAAGCTGTCTAAAGTCAACAATTCGGAAGTAGATTCACAAGAAAAACATCAACCCTTTCTTCAGCGTTCTCCACTTCCATGGGTAAAACAGGATCCAGTAGCGCTTCCGCAATCAGAGCCCAAACTGTAGACCTAAGACACGTAAGTAAAAAAAAAAAGAAGAAGAAAGAAGGCACAGTAGAAGAAACGAATTTTTTTTTCTTAAAAAGTCTGTGTCCTTTTGTAAAAGATGTACAGGTGCATTTAACTGTGACTTCTTACAAGTTTCATCCATGTGAAATGCACGGACATCTGATACACTTTTGTCAGAAAAGTCACGAAGCTGTTGTCTACTGAAAATGGGTGATTGCTTTTCTGTGTCAAACAATTTTGAATGGAAGTTGCACAAACAAAGCAATACGGCCATAAAATGCTCTGCTCACATGGAGGTGAAATTCTGAGACTGAACTTCAAACAACCAGGAAATAACTTTGTAAGAATTACGTGCTGTAAGAAGTTATGCATGGCTTAAAAGCATTCATTTGATTCCTGGACTCACAGTGTTGCTTCATTCTCTAAACCTTTCGCCTCGATGCATAGGGTGTGTTTTTCCCACGATGCAACCTGCCGATCGGGAACCTCCATCCTGTTGGCCATTTTCCTGACCGTTTCCTCCGGAACGACGTTACGACGCTGGCTATTTCTGGCCAGGGCTACCTCTGTGTTGCACTGTAGATAAACTTGACAGAAGCTTGTGTTGTCTGGACAAAAAAAAAATAAATAAATAAATAAATGCAAGAAATGAGTAAAAAAAAAAGAAAGAAACAGCTTTTCAGGGCAAGAGCTGGGCAGGGATGGGGATTTGGTCTCTCTGAGAGTGTTGGAGGCGGAGTCAATTCAAGTGATTGGTGAATATTCGAATATTCGTCCTTCCCATCAATCAAATATTCAGTTGCACAGAATTCCCACAAATGGAGAGGCAAAACATGCATGTTTGTTTGCTGGTCTGTCTCACTGAAGTTCAGGACAGGGGTCCGTCCCCTGGTAAAAGGAGGAAACTAGGAGTCCAACTGATGTTGGGTCCTAATTTGTGATTTATCGTCTCAGTGAGATCACACACCACAAAGATAAAAAAAGTGAAAGAAAGTAACATTTTTGCCTTATCATGGGAATATGTACCAGCTGCCTTTAATTTAATCGTAACACCTTAAAATACGCTTTTAGAATGAAATTTTGAAACGAATGCAATTTTGTAATAGAATTTGTCTTTATTACATTACCATCTCCGAACATTCTATTTTGAAAACGAATATTCAAATATTCAAGAATCAATTAAATATCAAAATATTTGACTCAGTCCTACTCTAGAGTAATTAAAGCTCAAGTGATTTAAACGAAATTAACTCACATTTCCTTGCCAGTTGGTAATACTCATATCGCATGCTCCGATAGAACATGTTATCATCAATGAGCAGCACCACAGACGAAGCAGGTTGGACCTGCTTGCCTTCTGCCCATGAGGTAGGTTGAGGTTGCTTGAGGGAGACGATCTGGTCTTGCATTGATGTCAGGACCTTGCTCCAGACCTGCAGATGATCGAGGGGGGTCAGAGAGAGGGAAAATTAACCTTGGTGTGAAATAGCATCTTCTTGAAAATGGAATGCGTTCATGCGTTGCAAACGGAACTCACTACGTGGGGTGGATTTCCAAAGTGCTCATTTCAAATGCGAGTTTGAACCAGTTGAGTGTTAGTCCATGCAGAGTCACACATAGACATGCAAAATAGGTTTTATACACCACTTGAAAAACTGACTTAACGGGGGGGGGGGGTAATTTTGCTCACATTTCATGGCAGTTCCTTTTTTTTTTAAAACTGACTCTGAGAAAATTTGAAAGTTGAGTAGGAACTGAACAGCTGTTCCGGGGTAAAAAAAAAGTCAATTCAGGTAATCAGGTGAACAAAGTAACTGCTGTTCCATGGCGACCGCAATGAACATTCATGATCCTGACTTGAAATGTGCCCACTGCTATGTTCTGGATGTGCGTACTTCTCTTCTGAAGTGGGAGAGTTCTTGTTCATCCAAGGCGGCAGTGATGTCCAGCACTTTGCCAGTCTTCAGTCTTGCCAGGATGCAATCCACACAGCGGATTATCTCTTGTCTGTGGGCCTTCCACAGAGATACTGATGACAACTGAAGGCAAAGGGCATTAAGAAAGTGCCTCTAGTTTGACCATTGTCACCCTGTTGGATTATAAACTAGTTGCTTTCAGGAAGCCTGACACTTATTTAATTGACATGGGCATCGGGGAGGGGGGGGGCAAGCCTTTTCCCTCCCCCAGAAGAGAAAAATTGAGAAATAAAAAACCAAGGACAAAAGCTAAAGAAATGAAATTTACATTGACCGCTTTCCACTGTTAATGGTTTATCATTCCGTTGACAAATGCTCCACCCTTTCCCACCCCAGAAATCTCCCTCTCCCCGAAAAAGTGCTTCCCCACCTGGCAATGGCCATGTTAGTGGGGATATTTGAAAGCATGGACACAGCATGGGAATCTGAAGATTCGGAATCTATTTAGCCCAGAGTTCTTCAGGACTTCTGATATACTGACTGTAGTGACCATTTCTTCCATGGAGATGGAGTTTATGTTTATTGAAATACCAGGTAGAAAAAGACCTATTGTTCGGGGGGGGGTGCTGAAACTCTCTGTAGAGGAAACCAATTTTTTCAGCATTAACTTTTGACTTTTTGAACAAAAAGAAATTCCACAAATCAGGGGGATTGAAAAGTTAAGTTTCATATCTACCCCCCCCCTTTAGTCGCAATATCCGCTTGGGATTTTCAGCTTAATGCAACCACCCACCACACACTTGCCTGAGGCCATATAATGATGCCAGTCTCTTCAATTACACCTTAGTATTAGCACCTCACAAGCTGACCCAGCCCCTATAAAAGTTTAGTGAACCCACAGTCTTTGGTGGTAAGGTCATGGAGGTAGGAAAATGGTAGGGTCACTGGGAAGAGTCAAACCCCATAAATCAAACCCCCTCTAACCCCCCATCTTGAAACAACCCCCATCCCTACAGCCATCCAGTTCTAACAACTCCAGCCATCCCGATGCATGAATGATGAGTACATCTTTGGACATTGTGGATGCAGACTCCAAAATTAGGCCCCGAGTCAGGAAGTGCTCCGTACACTTTGATTAGCAGTTTCATCCAGACAGGAACTCTGTCCTCCTTCCGACTCCAAATCCAGTTGTCTTGGAATGACGTCATCGTAGCACAGATGAAGGACTGCCTCCGTTGGGCATTGGTGGACCGCATCATGGCCAACGTCCACGGCAGGAGATGAGTTCAGGACAAGGTGACGTCCCATCTTCTTCAGCCTCAGGGCCACTGCGAGGGATGTTTTACCTGCGCCCGGTAATCCGCAAAGCAAGGCAAGACACACCTTCAAGTCTGTCCTCAACCTCTGCTCCATTACGAATAAGTTATCTCATGTCAAAAAAACATGCCATTATTCGATCAAAATGAACTCTGAATTCACGACGAATTCAAGGAATTAAGCTGTCAATGCAAAAACTCTCGTGAACTCGCTCCGGCTGTACCGTACGTGTGGTTCGTACGTCATTGGCTGAAGGACAGTCTATTTTTGTAGGTAGTCCAAATTCTGTTGAACTGTATTAATTACATAAGTATAAGCGTTTCCATGAAGATTTTTATCGATTATAATAAATTACAAATTATTAATCAGCACAGTAAAGGAAAATAAAGATACAGATTCTCCACAAAACTGATTACTATATTGACAAATTAATCCATCTGTACATTTTTACCTACTATTGACATGGAATCGTCGAGTAAACTTCCGGTTGTGTAAAGTAGTACGCATGCTTTCGTCACATGGTGAAATACGGAAATTTCATACACCATCGAAATGTAAACTTTTTCCCCACAAAATTGACCGAAAACTACATTGAGACTTCACATCGTCATCCAGAAGATTGCGTTTGTTTGTACTTGGCACGTTTTGGCATCATTTATTGGTCGAGTTTTCAGTATTTTTTGGTCTTGACCCCTCACTCTGAAGTGGCGCGACCACACGAGGGAACGCATATCGAGCCGGTAAAAAATTCCGCCACATCGTCAGAGGTTTCCATTCGAAGAAAACAGGCTTTTTCTAGAGTCAGGAGACGCATCCTCCGCCCTGGTAGACGGGTTGGAGGGTCCCGGCAACCATGTCTTCAAACGACGAGACCGCAGCAGACCGGAATGTGGAGATTTGGAAGATCAAAAAATTGATCAAGAGTTTGCAGGCGGCTCGTGGGTGAGTGCGGTGTGGTGTGTACAATTTGAATGGGAGACCGGCCATATTGTGAGAGTGCGTGGTGATCGTGATGTCGCAATCACGTAGTGTGCTATTGGCCTGTGTGAGTGTGGTGTGTGGAGGTCACTTCTTTGACGCACGGCAACACAACAAAGGTTGCGTAAAATAATCCTTGTCATGTAGAAGGCTTTTCAAGGAAAAGGCATTGCGTGTTGAATGTTTCTTTGTCTTTTCTCAGGTAATTATAAAATGAAAGTGCCATTTATTTAATAGAAAGGGAACAAAACTATTTTCATGTGAAGACTTTGTTCCTGCCAGTCAAATGGCTGTTGCTGTAGAACACAGTTTTAGGAATGGAAAATTTAAACACTAAAATTTGAAATGACAACTTTGTCAGCATTACTGGTATGTGTTTTTTTATATTTGCTGAAATTGTTCACATAACTTGACCTTCATTGGAATTGTATTTAACCGCCAATGCTGAAAATAATTTTTTTTTGAAAGGGCAAAATATTTCTGCCGTCTTGTTTTGTTTCGTGTTGTCAACACTCCTGCATCAGTCACACGAAAGTCAAAGCCATTCATTTTGTAACTTACCATAGTCATTACGTTCAGTATGGACGATAAAATTTTTACCCGCTACACAGTCACTTTGAATTTTTCATTGTTTTTATGCTTTAAACAGTATGATGTTAAATACGTAAAACATCAGCGTAACACCTTAAGAAAGTAATCATAACTTATTTACAAATGTAGAAAAAAGATTAGTCGTGACCAAAACATTTTCTTTCAAACAGTTCAGTTTTAGTTCTCAGTTAGTCCTGTTCATGCCTGTTAACTTGAGTTGTTTTTCTTTCATTGTTGAAATTTTCATTCTATACCTTGATTCCCTCTAGAGTAAGGAACTTTCGTACTTCAATCATGCCTCCGAGGCTCAGAGCACTGTTTGTAATTTCTCTCAGACAGAAATGTGAAAACTCTTATCTTAATGACAAATGGCGCAAATTCTGTCGACCCTTTCCAAACACGCATTGGGTTGACAGATTTCGCACGTCATGATTGGCCAACGTGTTTCAAACTCTTAGAGGCGCACTATTGTGAATCGCCCGTATTGTTAGCGTATTAGGACTGGTTATGTAACATCAGATGTTTTTATCTGTTAATAGAAAATCTAGGAATGAGTTTCTCAAAATTTCATATTTGGATTTGTGAATTTGGTGCAAACAAGAAGCGCAATTTTTTTTACCATTGCATTTGGTACTAAACTGTGTTTCTTGAAGGACCAGTTGTTACATGTGATCGAAAATAGTCTTTGAGTTGACATTTTTGAGCAAAAACGTACTTTGTGTTTAGGTACAAAAAGTGTACATGCTCCATGTGGAAAGATTGTTAATAATTAATTGGATAAAGGGAGATAAAGTCGGGATCTGTAAATAGGGCTGCGCCGAATATCCGAATTACTAAATATTCGATTTGTTATCAAATTTTTGAATATTATGTTCTATATTTGAATATTTGAATGCAAAATTAATGAAAAGATAGGAAAATGAGAGAAAATGCACAATGGAGGCTTGTTTCAAGCAGATTCAAAGAAAAAGTGACAAAAATTGTACTATTCAAAAAGTAAATTATTCATTAAACAATTTAAAAGGAATTGGAATTTTCAACAGGACAAGAAGTATTCCTATTGTTCAACTTGCTAAATCTTGGCTGGAGATACTCCTAGATGTGAGAGGCTATAATATTAATTACAATGTACAATTGTGTGCGTTATTGCAACTGATTTTGTATATGTGGTTTGTTCATCAACAATCTGCCGGTTGGTACGACCGAATATTCGGGTATTCGATTGAATTGAAGGTTCAATATTCGAATAGTGAATTATTCGAATTGACTCTGCCCTATCTTTAAAGACAAAAACTTGTCAGGTCTTGAAGTTGCTGTCTGAGAATGTAGAACAACCTTGAAGCTATGTCCTCGGGCAGGCCACTTCACTCTAGCGTTGGTCAGTGGATTGGCCTGTTACACTGTCAGGAACCGTAAATATTGATGCTCATTACTTGATTTGCATTTCATCCCTTCTTGTTCAGAAATGGCACCAGCATGATCTCCCTCATCATCCCACCCAAGGACCAGATCTCCAGAGTGGCCAAGATGTTGGCCGATGAGTTTGGCACCGCCTCCAACATCAAGAGCAGAGTCAACAGGTCAGGCCAACATGCCCGGCACGGTTTCACATGCGTTTGTGCCAACTGTTTTGGTAGCTGGTCGAGTGAAGTGTTACAAATGGAAAGTCAGACAAAGATGATCTGATCAAGTTGATAATTCTTAAGGAAGTGAGAGTTGCAAAGTTAGTGATAGTAGGATAACAGAGTTCATTTTCAAGTGAGAAATCCTTCAAATTGTGTAGTGCGTAACAGTTCAGATGAGCACTGACTTTGAAACTCCCAGAAAGGAAAGAAAAAATCAACAGACGGAGCAAATAAGCAACCTTTGTGAGGGTTTTTATGCCTCCTGCGTACAATCTGATGTTCAGTTTTTTGCTCCCTCCGTTTTTTGAATCTCTGAATCTTTCAAAAATTCGCCACTTTGAAGGAAACCAGCAGTACACGTTTTGGACTTTATTTTGCAGGAGCGTTAACCCCTTTGAGAAATAATAGAGGCTGGGTTCCACATTCCAAATCCTTCAAAATCCTCCCCTGATTTGATGGATTTGGCAGGATCTGGGAGGGTGAAGGTTGAAAGTGGATTCTGTCACCTTCATAAAGTTCTCATCACCTAACAACCAATGAAGTGTATCAAATAGCTTCATTTTTCCCCTCATCCGTCCAGACTCTCGGTGCTGTCTGCAATCACGTCCGTGCAGCAGCGTCTCAAGCTGTACTCCAAGGTGCCACCCAACGGCCTGGTCATCTACTGCGGCACCATCGTCACTGACGACGGCAAGGAGAAGAAGGTCAACATCGACTTTGAGCCCTTCCGGCCCATCAACACGTCGCTCTACCTCTGCGACAACAAATTCCACACGGAGGTGTGTTCGTAACGGCTGACACATTATCTTCATTCTTGCTTTAACCCTCCTATGCTG